TTCTACGTTTTTCCCTGTTCCCACGTGTTTTTCTATGTTTTTCCTGGATTCTCCCTGTTTTTTCGTGTTTTTCTATGTTTTCTCCTTATTCTCCATGTTTTTCCGTGTTTTCCAACGTTTTCCCCTGTTTCCCATGTGTTTTTCTATGTTTTTCCTTGATTCTCCCTGTTTTTCGGTGTTTTCTACGTTTTACCCTGTTTTCCTGTGTTTTTCTATGTTTTTTCTAGATTCTCCCTGTTTTTTCGTGTTTTCTATGTTTTTTCCTGTTACCCTATGTTTTTCCCTGATTCTCCAATGTTTTCCCCTGTTTCCCTGTGTTTTTCCATGTTTTGCCTTGATTCTCCATGTTTTTCTGTGTTTTTCTACCTTTTTCTCTGTTCCCATGTGTTATGCTACGTTTTTCCTTGATTCTCCCTGTTTTTCGGTGTTTTCTACGTTTTTCCCTGTTTCCCTGTTTTTTTCCATGTTTTTCCTGGATTGTCCCTGTTTTTTTGGGTTTTTCTATGTTTTCCCGTTATTCTCCATGTTTTTCCGCGTTTTTCTACGTTTTCCCCTGTTTCCCTGTGTTTTTCTCTGTTTTTCCTGGATTCTTCCCGTTTTTTCGTTTTTTTCTATGTTTTCCCTTGATTCTCCTTGTTTTTCTGTGATTCTCCCTGTTTTCCCGTGTTTTTCTATGTTTTTCCGTGATTCTCCCTGTTTTTTGTGTTTTTCTACGTTTTCCCCTGATTCCGCGTGTTTTGCTATCTTTTTCCCTTTTTTGCAATGCTTTTCTATGTTTTCCCCTGATTTTTCATGTTTACCGTGTTTTTCTTTGTTTTCCACTGATTCGCCCTGTTTTTCCGTGTTTTTCTATGTTTTCCCTGATTCTCCCTGTTTCCCCGTGTTTTCCGTACGTTTTTCCCTGGTTTCCCCTGTTTTTGTATGTTTTCTCTTGATTCTCCTCGTTTCCCCGTGTTTTTCTATGTTTTCCTCTGATTCTCCCTGTTTTCCCGTGTTTTCCTACGTATTCCCCTGTTTGCCAATGTTTTTCTACGTTATCCTCTGTTTCCCCGTGTTTTTCTTTGTTTTCCCTGATTTCCCATGTTGTTCTATGTTTTTCCTCGATTCTACCTGTTTTCCCGTGTTTTTCAACCTTTACCACTGTTTCCCTGTGTTTTAGTATGTTTTTCTTTGATTCTCCCTGTTTTTCCCTGTTTTTCTATGTTTTTCCTAACCTGAAATTCATCCGATTGCTTCGAGTCGTTTTCTCCTCTCAACAACGTCTGAATCGACGGGCCGTTAATGCCGTCCAGTGACGTCACTCACTACCCGAAAACCGGGTAGTGATTTTGATTGGTTGATTGTCTAAACATTCGCATAATTATGTATAATTATGAAAAATTTTAGCGCGATTGTCGCTTGATATTCAGCGGATCGCATCCCCGGCATTCTTTCGTTTAGTTCAAACATTTCGGTGAGCTTAATCTTTATCTTAACCAGCAAAATTGCCCTTGTCTTCGAAACTGAAGTGCTAAATTGAACTGCGAATGAAGAATCATTGCGGAGAGTGGGTAGGTTTTTCATTTAGAGCCGCTTTGTGGTTTCGGCGGCCGGTGATTTTGTTTACGCGAAGTTTTCTGAGATCAATGTTATAATTCGACCTTCTTAATATTTTTACCGTCAAGTGTAATGATTCTGTTAGCTATTCTTTCTTGTCTCCTTGTTTTTTTTCTTCGTTAATTAAAGCAAATCATTGTGTTTTTGAACTAAGTGTTCCGTGTGTGTGTTTATTTCATTTGCGTGATTGCGACCGAGTTTGATATTTATAGAATTTAGTACAACCGGTTCAGAGTTGTACTGCATGCAGTTGATAGTTTGAACGTTAAAGATGAATTACAATCGAAAAAAATAAAGCAGTCCTGTATCATGCAGACATTTCCAAACGATATTTCTCGGTTTGCCACTTGAAAATCGTGTTTTACTTTTTGCATGAATTAAAGCAAAGGTCAAGGACTAGTGACGTCACTGGACGGCATTAACGGCCGGTCGATTCAGACGTTACTGAGGGAGTAATAACGACTCGAAGTAATCGGATGAAATTCAGGCTATGTTTTTCCTTGTTTCTCCCTGTTTTTCCGTGTTGTTCCACGTTTTCCCCTGTTTTCCAATGTTTTTCCATGTTTTTTTATGTTTTCCTCTGATTCTCCCTGTTTTTCTGTGTTTTTCCACGTTTTCCGCTGTTTTCCCATGTTTTTCTATATTTTTCCTTGATTCTCCTTGTTTTTCCTCGGTTTTACCATGTTTCCCCTGTTTTCCTTGGTTTTCCTCTGTTTTCCTGTGGTTTCCCTTGTTTTCCCATGTTTGTTTTTCTCTTTTTTCCTGTCATTGTTATTTCTGAGAAAATATGAACAACCATTCTACACTTAATGTTTGTTTGTTTTCTTTTTTTTTTTTTTTTTTCTATAGGTTGTGTTGTTGCATGACTTGTCTATTTTAGAGACCTAAAAAAGGAAACCCCCCCCCCCTCCAACTTCACTCGCCAACTAATCTAGAATGGAGAGATGGCGCGCTTTGGCTACAGTACTGTGGCTTTATCCTCGATTATACGAGTTGTGCTGTTGCATTTAATTCTGTTCAAGGTTGTCTGAGAGTCTAACTGGTGTTACTGAAAGGATTTGCCAATATAAACAAGTAAATCAATTGTTGTACCTCGTGTGTTACATGACACACTGCATGAACAAGTAATCGACATCGTGTGACCGTTTCTTGACAGGTCAAGACAATAGAAAAAGTCCCATTAGGACTTCGCAAATGGTGACCGCGACCGCTTAATAGAGGTCGAAATTACAGTACATAAAGGGACGCAATTTTCGGGACTTTGAAAGGTGACAGCTTAATAGAGGTTGACCGCTTAATACGGTGCCACTTAATACAGGTTCGACTGTGTGTAGTTTTGAGTTTTTTTTCCTTAACAGGGTCAGAGTTTCAAACTGGGTACCTCCCGGACCTAAAACCCCCCCGCCGGGCCTGAATATTGTAGTGGGTACCAACAGCTTCCCAAGGCTATATAATATTATGATCTACATCAAGCACATTTTCACGTATGGGACGAGAGCCTAATATTATTAATCTTCACGCTGCAGGAAACAGAGACATGACTTGAACACACGCAGCATTTCAGCATGATGTAAAAGTCATGCTGCCTATTTTTTTTCCTACTACGATTATTTTTTACTTAATTGTTCCTTTTTTTTTTTGGGAAATTGGGAATTTTAAACTCACCTCCCCACACCCAGCCATAAATAACGTACATACTGATAATAGTGATAAAGTGAGTAATGAGGAGTAAGTTCATGCCTCAAACGATTCGAACGTTTCTTTTTTTTTTGCGCTTGATAAAGGTCATAATTCAGAGAAGCTTTCCGGAAGAATGGACGCCCACGAAGATTCCCAATACCCTATTTCACCCCACTACCCCTCTCCCGCCCCTTATTTAGCGGGATATTATAATTTTATTGCGTAAAACGAATAAATGTAAAATAACTGTACAGAGGGGAATTTTATGGACCTAACGTGAATTCACTATAGAAAGTAATTTTACGGGAAGCATATTCTTATATTTTCTATGTAACATTCAAGCCGGTACCATTTCCATGCACGAGCAGCACGAGGTGTTCCTCTTAAAATGTCTTCGACAACACGATCAACCCTGATCTCGACGTAGATTCTAACTCTCAGCAGACTCAGGTAAAAATTTCAACTGCTTTTTATTCCTCTTTCTCAGAATGTGCATGGTTGAAAGATAATTGGTTCGCTTCCAAAGAAAAATGCGCGCCGAACTTGTACATCTTTTTTTTTGGGGGGGGGGGGGTAGAGCAGTGATGGTACATGGTACAGATGGAGCGGGCAGCTTTGAACACGAAGGGAAGCTAGCCTTTATTCATCACAAAAAAGTGACCATCATTTCCAATTTTACAACAAGTTTCTCTTCGATTTTCGAAGCAAGTGGCGTGGGAGGATATATCTTTGACATCTCATCAAACCAAAGAGAATGGTAAGTATAAAAGATAACATATACTTGTTGAATGTTAATATGCTATATATGGCAGCGTGTTTTCGCCTAGGTAAACAGAGGAAACTCATATCGATACTTTCTTTTCGACAAATGACATTGCTGCAAAATTGACATATTCAGGTTTTCTAAAATAATAGTATACGTACTCTCGGATTCCTAAGTGGAATGGAATTTGTGAGAGAACGGACACGGGTGAGGGAAGAGTTGGAATCTTCTGAAAAATGGCAAGGGATGTCATTAAGAAAAATTAAATGAAACCAGTCATGAAAGAGGCCGCTGAAGTCTGTTGAGATCTCCAATAGCCTTTTTTCCTGCTCACTTATTTTTGTACCACGCCCATTATCTGGAACAATTCGCACTTTAAACACACGTGTCAAGACAAACACAAGACGAAAAAGGTAAAAAAAAAAATCAAAAAACCAAAAAGAGAAAAGGGGGGAGGAATGGTGGGAAAACAGGGAAACAGGTGAAAACGTAGGAAAACACTGGAAATTAAAAGAGAGAATCAGAGGAAAACATAGAAAAACAGGGAGAATCAAGGAAAAATATAGCAAAACATGGGAAAATGAGGAAAACGTAGAAAAACATGGGAAAACAGGGAGAATCAAGGAAAAACATAGGAAAACATGGGAAAACAGGGGAAAACGTAGAAAAACACGGGAAAACAGGGAGAATCAAGGAAAAACATAGAAAAAGACGGGAAAACAGGGGAAACGTAGAAAAACACAGGAAAACAGGGAGAATCAAGAAAAAACATAGAAAAACACGGGAAAACAGGGAAAACCATAAAGAAAACACAGGAAAACAGGGGAAAACGTAAAACAACAAGGGAAAACAGGGAGAATCAAGTAAAAACAGAAAAACACGGGAAAACAGGGAGAAACAAGAAAAAGCATAGAAAAACACGGGAAAACAGTGGAAAACGTAGAAAAACAAGGGAAAACAGGGAGAATCAAGAAAAAACATAGAAAAACATGGGAAACCAGGGAAAAACATAGAAAAACACAGGAAGACAGGGGAAAACGTAGAAAAACACGGAAAAAAATGGAGAATCAAGGAAAAACAAAGAAAAACACGGGAAAACAGGGGGAAACGTAGAAAAACAAGGAAAAACATAGAAAAACACCGGAAAACAGAGGAAAACGTAGAAAAACAAGGGAAAACAGGGAGAATCAAGTAAAAACATAGAAAAACATGGGAAACCAGGGGAAAACGTAGAAAAACAAGGAAAACGGGGGAATGATATCGCAAATTTACTTCAGTGAAGGGTTTATCCTCTAATAATTTCATGAAGTAGAAAAACAAGGGAAAACAGGGAGAATCAAGTAAAAACATAGGAAAACACGGGAAAACAGGGAGAAACAAGAAAAAGCATAGAAAAACACAGGAAAACAGGGGAAAACGTAGAAAAACAAGGGAAAACAGGGAGAATCAAGAAAAAACATAGAAAAACATGGGAAAACAGGGGAAACGTAGAAAAACAAAGGAAAACAGGGAGAATCAAGGAAAAACATATAAAAACATGGGAAACCAGGGAAAAACGTAGAAAAACCCGGGAAAACGGGGAGAATCAGGAAAAAACATAGAAAAACATGGGAAAATAGCTGAAAACGTAGAAAAACACGGGAAAACAGAGAGAATCAAGGTAAAACATAGAAAAACACGAGAAAACAGGGAGAATCAAGTAAAAACATAGAAAAACAGGGGAAAACAGGGGGAAACGTAGAAAAACAAGGGAAAACAGCGAGAATCGGGGAAAAACATGGAATTACATGAGGAAACAAGGCAAACATAGGGAAAACAGGAGAATACATAGAAACACATGAAAAATTCTATATATATTGGGGACATAATATGGAGTCTTACATGAGATACTAACCGATCTTTCAGTTAATAGTGGAGCTCTCGCACGCGCCAGCGGAGCACCATGGGAAAGTAAATCTACCCATCCCAGAAAATTTGGTAATCGCGTGACCGTACACTGACCGCCTTCAATCCGTCCGCATTACAGGCACACCAGTGTTTACTCTCACACGTTCTAGCTACTTTGGGAGCCCAGGAGAAAACTGATTGCACATCAATGCTGTGATCAATTGACAACTGTCAAAACAAGGTATCCGCTGAAAAGTATCAACTGGCCGTATCGCAGGCTCAGGTGTCGACCCATCCAGGTCGAGTACTTTTTTGAAGTTATCCGGTGATAAGTTACTAGTTTTCAAATGATCGCAGGCTCAAGTTTATTTTTGTAAAAAAATGATATGAAATATGTTGTGTTTATGTCACTATGGCCCCGTACCATTAACAATTTGATTTAAAACTGACCTCGGACGCGAAAATTCAGCCAGTTACTTAAAAATACAAGCAGGGAAGTCAGACGCTTTTTACTTTTCTAACCATAGTCACGCGTTGGTCACGTTCTACGTCCAATTTTTATGCTCTGATTGGTCAAAATTTGACAGGTGAGTTCATGTGGAAAATTTATACAGCAACTTGAAACTTGTTTACTTTGACAGCTGAAGCTGACAGAGTTTTGAACGTAGCGAAAACAGGGGAATGCATAGGAACACTGGGAAACTTTTATATATATTGGGGACATATTATGGAGTCTTACATGAGATACTAACCTTTTTAACTGTCTTTTTCCGCAGGATGTACAAAATGAAATACAGCTGCTATCAAGAGTCTTCTGTTATTCATGGCTGGTTTGTTTAATGAATTTTTGGTTGAGAAATGCGCCGCTTGTCAAAGTCTGAAATCCTTTTTCGGATGGCATCGTTTTCGTTTTTCACCTTGCTGGATGCATAAAGAGGGTTGAAAAGTCTCAAGCGATTCTGGCGTTACTTGATATCTTTCAGGAGCTGCATCTTGAATGGTAAGCCTGAGTAATTATTTTGTTTGTGGTTTTTTCTTATATCTAATTTCATGAAGTCGAGCGCAGTTTATAATTAACAATTAATAAATGAGGCTGAGTATCTTATGAAGAAATATGGAGATCGAGGAGGGTGTTATCCGGCCGAGGCGGATAACACCCTCCGAGATCTCCATAATTCTTCGTAGGATACGAAAGCCAAATTCAATAATTGTTTTATTATTCATTCAAAATAATTCCTAGTTTAAAAACAGAGCTAAAACATGCTTACCTCCATCGATCCATCGATGTTAAGTTCATCTTCGATAATGCACGTTTAGGGTTGTTCAGCTCCGCCAATATTCTCCAAATAGGAGATGTCGCCCTTCGAGTTGTGTTCTTGTCATGTTTTTAGCTATTATTTCGCCTAGTTCTTACTCTTGAAACAAGTGAAATGTTCCGCCATTTTTGTTTCCACAACCAAAACAACTCAACCTCGTCCCCAGGTCTTCTCGGATAACGTTGCATTAACCTGTAGAAGGCTGCATTTTTGACGTCATTTCCTCGTTAAACACAAAATTCTTCCAAATTTGGTCATCAGTAAGTGGTTATGGTGAATTATGCGTGTGCTGTTAGCCAATCAGAATCGGGGAAATATTTTTAATGAATAATAAGGCTTGTTTATGAACGTTTGTAATAAGATTTGAGACAATGATCTGACCTAGTATGAGGTTTGATATAAGCTTACAGAACTTTAAAAAGCCTTTAGTCGATATTTTCTCACCGGAAATAGAAAGAAGAAGCGTTCCGAAGAGTGTTTAGTTATAATTTTGGCTGTAGAAAAAAAGCTTTGAGCGATTTTCTTGCCTCGAGTTCATCTTTGAAAACAGCAAACATTAAAACATAAACTTAAGCTTTAAGCTTAAAGATTCAGGATTTTTAGAAACACTTTAATACTTGTCTTCGTGAATGAAAATTGTTGTCTCTGTAAATATTTCACCGAATTACATTTCTGATCTTTTATTGATTGTTAGTGGTCTCTTGCAATTTTAATCACTTTGCCGTTTGTTTTCAGTCGTTCATAAGAGGGTCTGAATGGGGAGGTCCACTTGTCGGTTATCGGTTAAAATTCAGTTACTTTGTCGGTAGTCGGTTAAACTTTTTGATTTTTGTCGGTTGTCGGAAAATCTCAGTTAATTGTTAATTATAATATTTTTTACGTATTTCATCCAGTTTCAAGACTTTGATCCCTAAGAAATGAGTAAAACCTGTAAGAATGCATCATTTGATTGGACTTAAACTTCATTAACTCTTGTTTGTTTATGCAACATGATCGTTTATTTCACCATTCTGTGCCAAATGCATATCATGAGTACTGATAAAATCACCAAAGCTTTTATTGTAAATGCGAAAGTAGTTTCCCTGCAGACTATAGGGCACAGTAAAATCTAATTAATTAATTAATGGACTCTAGCCTTTTGGATACTTAAATTATTCTTAGTGAAAAACTGCAGTCTGTGACAGGCTGCACATCTAGCATTATTTACAGAGTTTTAATCTTTGCCTTAAAGAAGGACAATGCTTTGCTGAGAACTACCAACCCCCCTCCCCTTAGGGTTTCCTGAGATTTTTCCAAGAGAATAAAACATCAGCTCCTGACGTTTTCAGTAGCTGTTCGTAATTATCCGAGGGCGAAGTTGTTCTTTAAAACTTTGGCAAGGTAGTGGTTGGTTTTGTATGAGATTACACTTTTTCATTATAATAGACACTACGGGCTTGTATTGTGTCACGAAAGGCAATATTTCTTTTTCCTCCTTGTTGTTTTTGTTTCAGTAGCCTGTGTACAGACGTCCCTCCTCCCTCAGGGGGACGTCTGTACACAGGCTACGGTTCAGGAGTGCTGATTTCCTTCTGTGAGTTTTACTTCTAATAGCAGTTTTTCTTTCAAAATTGTGTGGCCAGCCTCTGTCCATCAACCGCTTTTTGAGGCTGAAATGCTTCCTCAGAGAAGTTTCCTCGTAGGATTCTCAAGGCTTCTTGTTTGTCAAATCCATTTTTAACAATTGATGGGTGACAAGATTAATATTGAAGATTAATCTAAGCATTTCTCGGACCGAAACAAGAAACGTTCGGTTTTTTCACTTCTGCCTTTTCAATAAAATTTATAAGGTCGGTCATATTGGTTGTAGTAATGTACCTGTATCAACAAAAGAGGAAGTTCTTTCTGTTAGACCATCTGATGAGTCATAAATTTAAAGAGGTTACTTCCTAACGGCTGCAAAAAAAGGCGATCCTGCACCTATTTAAAAGATTGCTCGTGATTAGCTGGGAAAACAATAGGGATTGTCACATAACAATGCCCCATCCCTGAAAACAATGGAAGTGTAAATTAACGGGGCCTATGAAATAAGAGGTTTATAACGGTGCAGGTCTAATGGAAAAAAATGCAAAGTGCCCTTTTTCTGAAAACAAATATTAATAATGTCAGCCCATGTCGGTAGTCGGTAATTTTTTACTCGTTTATTTTGTCGGTAGTCAGTAATATTTTTCGCCCTTTTTCGCTAGTCGGTTAACCCTATTCACACCCTCTCATAAACATCGTTTGCTGGAGTACTCAAAATGCCGAGCGTATCAAACGCTTTTTAAGATTACGCATCGTTATAAGACCATTAAATAAAAAATAAACACAATAAATTCTTTATTGTGTTGAAGCGTAACTCTTTCAATGTTCACTGCAAAATTGGCGCTTGTCAAACGAGAGAACCGGTAGCCGTATAGGTGATTTTGGAAATTTTTTGAACGGGTTTCGCTAAAAGTCCACGCGTGGTTCGATGGTTCTGAATATTGATTGATTGATTTGATTTGATTGATTTGAACGGGTTTCGCTAAAAGCCCACGCTTGCTTCGATGGTACTGAATATTGAATGAGTGAAGTTTGTCTTGAAAAATTGTGAAATACTGCATTTTGTCTGAGTTTTGTATGATAAAAACAGCGCTTCATAATACTTTTTCGCCTCAGATATGATGTATAACTAGGGTATCTAAAAGATAGTAATGCTGCGGCACATTCTGTTGATACTGGCATTAGTTAGGCAGTGAGACTTAAAAGAATCAAAAATAACATTGAATGTCCTATTTAAATGTTGGAAAGTACTAGAATAATTACTATCAGTCTATAGAAAGAACTCGTGGGAACGTTGTTTAGAAAATGATCAAGTGGTTATCAACTCTGGTTTTCCCACAGTAAATTGTAGGAAATAATAGAAATTCAGATTGTTTATCCATATATTTAATATACGGTGCACGATATTTTCTCTGGAAACACAATACTTTTCTTGCTGTTTGTTGCACTTTATTAAGTAACAGTTGTTTAGCTATATATTTATAGAAAACAACAACACAAAGAAACGGAAAAAAAAAGAAAGTAGGAATTAATAATTTGGTAGGACTCGCACTCGGCACCTTCGACTCGACGCGACTACACCTAACCACTACACCACAGAGGCTGATTACATCATTAGCAGTAAAAGTCTTTCATTTTATTCCTTTTCCATGAAACGTCCGCCGGCAAGACATCGCCGGCCGCATTAACCGAGCTATTAACAGTGAAAAAACAATGTAAACGCATATTCCATGGCAATGAATGAATGAAAGAACATAATTATGCTTTTCAAAACGCCGATACACGTCCTCGTCTGCAAAGTAGGACACAAAACATATGTTTTGTTATCTCGATTTCCGCTGTTATTTTGAAGCGAATGGTCAAAATCACATCCATTTTCGGCTCATCCAGCTTCTTAAGAATAGCATTGCATGACATTTTCTCACTTTCACATCACCTTCTAGCAAGCTGGAATTTGTATATCCCCCGTGTTGCGGAGTCGAAGAGCAAATGCTCATCTTCTCGTCAGGCTTAACATCTGGACGAGTCAAAGGCTCTTGAATTGAAATACAATCCCCAAGTTAACCATCGTACTCATCTGAAAGACTACTGCGTGTCTTAAAATTTGGTAAGACCTCTAACCGTGCGGTAGAAAATTTGCCACAAAGAAAACTCAGCGAACGATGCAGTCTCTCACCGACCGAACTTCGAGTTGTTCGTGGCGCAATGCACTCTGGTTAAATGCAATGCATTGTGGTAAAAAGTGTGGTTAAATGCAATGCATTGTGGTAAAAAGTGATGAATTCGAGAATTCGTTGCCCCTTATATATTTCCTTTAAATCCTGATTATGTTGCTGCTCGCTCCCTTCGGTCGCTCCGCAGCAAAAAGTATAAAAGGTTGGTTTACACGCACCCAGATTTCTTGGCAAGATTTTTTAAAGTAAACTGGTCGAAAGCAAAAAATTCGTCCTGATTTGTTTTCCAAGAATTTATTTTCCAGGCCCAATCTACTGTGATCAAGAGCCATTATGGCTCTTAAATGTAATCGAAGATGATTGCTATTTTTTGGGTGTACATATAAACTAAAGACTATAAACTCGACGTAACATTTTTTTTCACTCTGAAATCACTTAGCCTTTCCCTCAAAACTCACATATGTGCCCTTAAGTTAACTTATTTGTGGATTACAAGTTTATTGTTTGATTTAAACTATAAATTTAGTAATGGAAGCTCCGCTTTTAGCCCTGGCTAAATCTATATATTATTATGGTTATGGCTGCTTTTTATTAAAATCTGAATTGCGTTAATAATGATCAGGTGCCTCCAACTGAAACACTTTTATGTCCTTTCCATGTGCTATGTGTTTTTACTTAACTCTTACGGTTTTACTCTCGGTACAAATTGATAAAGCACGCACGATTGAGTACATAGCCGTTTATGTATTTAAAATATAGATTTAGCCAGGGCTAAAAGCGAAGCCTCCGTTTATATATTAATAACAAAAGCTTAACTTTACGAGTCTTCCATTTACCTTTTGAGGTGGGAATAGCTGAGTAGGAAAAAACTCTCCCATCAAGATAAAAGTCTTGTGTCAAAAAAAGAAATCATTACAAAATGTATGCATCACGTCGATCACAGCAGTAGGCTTGGAAAAGAATTCACCCAAACTATATACCACCGAACCCCCTAGCACACCCCTTTGTGAAGTAATCGGTCAGCCCATAAATTTAATGTTACTTTCGGTAGCAGCCAACAGGTTACGATTTCTAAGGTCAATACTCCTTTGCGCGGATACCCTGCGAGCAGATTCACTTGTGCTAGATTGGGGAAGGTTTCGGAGGCGGATCCCTTATCGCGCGTGGAAAAGTCACTGTTCATTGCGCGTTGGCAGCTGCTCCGCTAAAATTTTTCCTGGAATCACACATTGTGAGCCTGCTCCCAGTCTATTACACCGATGGTAAGAATTGAAAGGACGTCTAAAAAAAGTGCAAGTTAATGCCATCGAATTTGTTTGAAATATCCTTCATAACCCAAACGGAGACTTCTGTGTATGGTTATGGTTAAGTAATGTCTTTAGCACAGAATTGACCTAAAACAGCAATATATTCGTGACATAGCCACTTTTAAATATCTCATGTTCTTGCAATGCCTCAGTGAAGAAGTTTTGCTGTCTAAAGACCAGGTAAAATTTTAATTTATTTATATGGTTGCAACAGATTTTGACTCCACTACATAACAGCAACAGACAAAATGTAAAGGCAAATGAATTAATTTAGGGACGGCTTGGCGAGAACCAACCCTGCAAAGCACGTAGAGTGACAAAGTATTGGGCAAAATAGCAAATGGTAGTTCCTTAGAGCCCAAGAGATTTCATCCACATAGGTGTCTTCGGTTTGAACAGATTTCCAGAGGCCGTGCCTCTCATGCATCCTATCACTAACCCAATTATTTGCAGCGGAAGGGGCCCCTCCCAAACGCAGAGAATGAAAACCAAAAGTGGAAGGGTCAACCTCTACGCTTCTCAGGTCCTAATGCAAAACGCCTCTCTAATTGTAACAGCTGATAGGCTTGTCCTGGGAAACTAACTTAAAGCAGTTCTTCCCTCGAGAGATGGGTCTAAAAATGAGATCCCTGGAGCCGGAAGGGAAGAAAAATGTACAGGGTACCTTAGGAAGCTTACAAGGACAAGTGGGGTTAGAAATCTCCGAAAACAAAAAATGAAACCCTCGTGAAAGACATTATCATTCCTGCTAATGACCTAAAAAAAAGGTAGCGAATGACAAAACGTACATAGTAACTTTACGTAAATGAAAGGGGTTTTGAAGGTCGGCTAGGACAGTAAGGTCATTAATCACCGAGGAAGAAATTTGTTCTTTCCGGTTAACGACCCAAGTACCTAAATCCTTTGGAAGCACACCTGACCACTTGGACAACTAGGTTATCCGTAAGTAGCACACAAAATAAGGGGTCCTAGGGCAGGTGGATCAGGGATGGGGTGAATTCATGGATAAAAAAAGGTCCATACTCAATAGAGCCTAGGTTATGTGACGTCACGGTGAAAACATAAGGCAGACAAAACCTGCCTGGGCTTTCCCAAAACGTGAGTAATCCATCAACGTTGCGTTAATTTTGATATGCGAACCCCTGAAAAACCGTTGCAGCGAAAATATGCTACTCCGGAATGTTTTACAAACACCGAAAACAGAGAGAGATTTTCATATGAAATGAGTGTAATGTCTACACTCCACTGTGCTACAACATTCGCTCCGCACTCAACGGAAGACAACTGACTGATCATGAGCTATCGATCTATCTATACACACAAAAGCGACTGCAAATAATTATCTGCAAAACTGATGGATTATTTACGTTTTGGGCAAGCCAAGGCAGGTTTTATCTGGCTACTGTTTCCACCGTGATGTCACATAACCAAGGCTGTATTGACTATGGACCTGTTTTTTTCCATGACGCATCAGTGGATTCACAGGATCCACCTTGATCGACCCGGCCTAGAGCCTCTATTTTGTATACTACTTCCGTGGGAGAGGGAATGCCCGCCATGCTATGAGCCCATTTAATACCGTAAAAACCCGCGTCACGAACCGGAGCTGAATATTTCTCAAAGGTAATCGAAAATAAAAAGAGAAAATGAGAGAATCACAGAAAAAAAGATTGATAAATGCAAGCTAAGGAACCGGAAAAAGGGAACTCCCAAAATAGGGCGGAAAGGAAAGTTGCACAAAAAACAACTGCAAAAAATAGCCATGAGCAAGAGGCTGGGTGCAAAATTTAATTGCTCCAGACCTGAAGGTATACGCATAGCAAGCGACTACGAGCACAGGTAAAACTTTCCGTCAGGCGTAGAGCAGAAGCCGACCAGGGAGGAGCGAGATCTGGGGCACCGAAAATTGACTCCAAGCGCTACGAAGTCAAAATCTAAGGGCCTGGATTCGAAAAGGGAATTGCAAACCCTGCTGGAACAAATAATCCCTGGAACTTAGGCAAATATACCCAGTTGACAACAAAGCTATTCCACTATTCCACTTCTATTAAAGGCATTCCAGAAAAAAGCTGCCTTCCATAGGGAGAGAACAAGGGTTCCCTGAGTTCGGCATAGCTTCATGTACCTGATGACTCTGACAATGAGACAAACCGGAGGACAAAGCCAGTTGTTGTTGTCGTAACCCCAATTTTGAGAAACGGGAACCTCGCAACCTAGCTGAAAGAATTGAATAGTCAAATCTAGGCAACTTGGCGTTGTAGCTACGGGCGAACCTGTCAATGGTACGAGGACTCCAGAGGACGTAATCGTCGAAGCCAAGAAGCTTGCATATACAGTCCGCACTGACGTTCGGGTCCCTAGAAATCTGACTTGAGCTCGAGCGAAAGACAATGTTGGAGGCAAACTTGGAAAAAAACGCCAAGTTCTGTAGATCACATTTGCTGTTGCCGTTGCGCAGAATGGATTCGACGTTGTCTGGTTGTCAGAATACCAAAAACCTTCGAATTAGAGGAAGTTCGTGATAATAAGAATATTGCTGAAGTAGGAGAAAATAATAAATAGCAATGTAATGACGCTTCAAAAAAAGCCCATTTTTGTCTTAAATGAAGAGGAATCCAATCTTCATGAGGGTAGATCTGCTGCCAAGGATGGTCCAAATTTATCTCCTATTCTTGATTCTGACTCTCTTTGGACTGCTCCCTCTCTTTATTTTTTTTTTCTAAGGGTGACATCGTGAGAGTACGGAGTTTGTTACTGATTGGTTTTCGGCAGATCCCCCAGCGGATAATTTGCTGACAAATCTCCTGCAACTCTCAAGGTTGGTGGAGAAGCTGATTCTCTCTCTCCTGTTGGTCAGGTTAGGTTGCAATATAGGCGCGTGACCTGTGTGGCAAAGCCAAGGGTTCGCGTGGCGGCGCTAGTATTCACCAGTCCCTTCTTCTGAGGCCATTGCCAGGAAGGCATAGTTAAACGTGGTGGTCTAGTGCGCAATGGCTGCGTAATCTCTCTAGTGACAGAGACACACGTTACTGATGTGACCGAGGATAGTTTTTGGTTCTCAGCGTCGGGTCTGTTGACGGCAGTTACGCTTTTGCAGTTTCGCGTTGCCGAGATTTCAAACTTTAGCAAGGCGTTCAGTTCAGTTCAGTTCAGTTCAGTTCAGTTCATTTTTATTTAGCCAAAATACAATACAATACAAAAATACATACAGGAATTGTAAGGTTGCAAGGCAGCCCAGAAGAAACCAGAAGGCTTTAAGAAGCCTGGGCTCCCCAGTCTAAAAGAGATAAGCAAAATAAAATGATATTCGCGGAGTGATACGTTAGAAATAGGAACCAAACAGAGACAAACTCTGGATTGGAACAGAATACTTTCCTTTGTTAGTACGGCAGAAAGGAATATAAAATTGCATGTTTTGAACTACGCATTCATTGTTTAGGGCCGCCATGTTGTTTCCATCAAGTCGAAGTGCATCACTTTAATCGCCCAAAACTGAGCAATAATTCATTGATTCGAGATCAAAAATCCAACAAACACATCGCAAACGGATACTAAAATCTAGTTCATACCTTTAAACGCGAGGCTGTACAATTTTTTGTGGCAAAAAACCTTGCCGTAAATCACTTACCGCTGGAAGCCCTTCCTGCGGTTCAAACGTGAACTGCAAACTGCAAACGTGACCGCAAGGCCGTGGTCACGTGACATTTTGTGGTTTGCGGTTTGCCGTTTCCCACGAAAAACCTCATGCTAAAGGTCCCTAATAGCTCCTGGTACCGTTCACTCTTGCAGCCATTCACCATTTTCCCTTGTCAACTATTGTCAAGTCTTAAGCCGGCTTCGCCATGTTTGCTTTTTTTCAAGATGAACTCGAAGCAAGAATATCGCCCAAAGCTTTCTTTTTACTACCAATAGCATAACTAAATATTCTTCAGAACGTTTTCTTTCTAGTCGCGGTTAGAAAATGTCTTAAGTTCTGTACTAGGTCACTGAGATCATTGTCTCAATTCTTACAAACGTGCGTAAAGTGACGGCATAAACAACGCTCCACTTCATAAAACCAGAAAAAAAAACATCAAATGAAACATAATTGCTTAAGCTTACCAGTCGAGATGCAGCTCCTGAAAGCCATCAAGTAAGGCCAGAATTGCTTAAGACTTTTCAGCTCTCTATATACGCATCCAGCAAAGTGAAGTAGGTACTTAGTAAGAGTAGCTTATTTTTGAAAACGATGATTTCCGAGAGACGCATTTCTCAACCATAAACCCAATAAACATGCCAGCCATGAAAAGAAAAAGAGTCTTGGTAGCAGATGTATTTCATTGTGTAGATCAAGTGCAAAAAGGACGGTTAAAACGTAATAAGATGAAACAAAGCTCTGTCAGCTTCAGCTATCAGTAAACAAGCTTCCAGATGCTGCAGAAATTTTCCACATGAACTCACCTGTCAAGTTTTGACCAATCTGAGATAAAAATGGGCTGTTGAACGTGACCAACCCGTGACAATGCTAAACAAAGTTCAAGTCCAAGTCCGGCCGCTGGTTCAAAAGCACAGAACTTATTTCATGTGCTGTTTCCCTTGAAATTAATAATGTTGAGACTGCGATCTGTTGAAAACTAAAAACTTGTCAGAGGAAGACTTCAAAAAAGTAAGTAACCTCAATGGGCCAAAACTTAGGCCCATTGATAAGGTCATATGGAACTAGTCAGCGGATATCCTGTTTCGACACTTGATCATAACATGAATGTGCAATATCATCCCACACGAGCTTACTACCAACATTTCTCGAATGGCTAGGATCAAATTTTCTTAGAACAAAACCGAATGCAAGGCTGGCAATACGGCGAAGGGCTGATTTATTTGAGGCCAATATTTCGGCTGACAAAATTAGCCTTCAGTAGTGGATAAGGCACCGAATTAACCTTTTCTTTGCGGGGGAATTTCATTAACTTCCGGGGGAATACATTAACGCCGGTGACGTCATATATCTCATTAAGATAGGATGATGTCATAGTTTACATTAATGCCGATGACGTCATGCATTTCATTAAGATAGGATGATGTCATAGTTTATTTTTAGCTGGCTGACGTCATGCATGTCATATAGATAGGATGATGTCATAGTAAATTTGTAGCTGGCAAGGAGCAAGTGACGTCAGAATTTCCTAGAGTTGACGTCATCAAAAAATGTTGAGATCATAATCTATAAACAGAAAAGTGATTTCTATATGATTAGCTATTTGCTATAGTCTTCTGATTAGATATTCTTTGCTATAGTCTTCTGATTGAATATGGTAGAAACTGTTATGTGTTCAAAATAAAAGCTGGCAAATTTTGAACGTGTTACCTTTGCAGATTATACTAAATGAAAAATCTTTAATCATTAAATTATTTTCACTAAAAACCGGTGATAAACAAAACCAAGACACGGAGGTTAACTGAAAAATCGTTACTTCAAAAGAAGGGAAAAGGAGGTTAAGCGAATGCGAAATGGTACTAATTTTTCGGCCAAAACATGAAAACGAGGTCGAAGCTCAGCGAAGCGAAAAACTGCCTATCAAGCAAAAATATCAATCTTTGTTTACTGGACTCTGTAGAAAGTATTGCACAGGGTATGAAAATTCTATAGAAAACAACAGGTGGTTCTAAAGTAAACCCTAACTCTTTGGGTTCTTAAATAAACCACATTCTTGTTCCTAATGAGTGGAAAGTCTATTTATAAAAATAGGAATAAGAGGTGCGATCGCGTAGCAACACATGTCTTCTTATTTAGCGCTAAAAATCGGATATATAAAAAAAACACACACACATACAAAAAGTGGAGCTGAAAGCTCTCTACTTCAATTCTGACTCACCATTACAAAAGCGTTTTCTCCGTTCTATCTCGAGGAAACTCAGCGCTTGGTGAGCTTATGGTCTTGTCAATTCACGCGCCGTTTGGGTTAGTCAGTTAATTATGCGGGTTAACAAGCCCAAAGTTGAATACAAATTAGTTCATCTCTACAGCTAGACCCAAGGGAGTACCTTGACGTATTATTGTAAAAACACAAACAATTAATAACTTAACAAGGATCAATTTAAACACTCGACAAATAAATTGACAAGACACGAGACACAGTTTAAAAACTTTATTGAAAACCAGTGACAAAAAGAGTCAAATACACAGCGATTTGTAAGGGATGGAAATTAGACATCCTCTTCGTTCTCCTCTTTAGAAGGTGAATAAAAATTGGTTTCCACCGTCTTGGCGTTTTTTTGTGTAATTAAACCACAATCGTGACACCGAAGTATGATGTATTATCTCTCCTCCTCTTATCTTGATGTATTGATGTATTATCTCTCCTCGGGGATCTGGTGATCGCATATAGGACAAATCTTGTAGTTATCGTGCCAAAAGCATTTAGGACATTTCATTATCAATGTGGAGTACACGTTAGAGTTTTCGCAATGTTCGTAGGGACTTTTAGAGTAAAAGATGGTGGACGTTTCAGGGCTACTACTTTCTGTTTCCTCACTATCGTTTTCAGTGTCGTTGTCGCTCTCTTGGGTGCCTTCAGTTTCTAAGCCATTCTCAGAAGCCACTTCCTCCTCCTCCTCCTGATTTTCAATATCCGATGAACTCTCCTCATTATTACTCTCATTATCGGTTTTCTACATTTCGATCGGTAGCCTTTTTCCTTTTCTATTAAATCACTTAACAACTTTTTGTTCTTGATTAAACCTTTATCGATTCCTAACTCTGCAAGTCCATCTAGAAACGTATTCAGCGCACGAGGCTTGGTAACCTCATTGTTATGACGGAGTAACACATACTCAACTAGCTCGGCGATGTTTGATACGGGAATAGTGCGTTTATTTCGAAGTAATTGTCCGCTGGGATTCCAGAAAGAATATCTTTGGACGCGGCCATACTATGCAGCAAGTCAGAAGCACGCTTTTCCGACACTGCTCGGGAAAGATGACTCAAAACATCTTTTATTCTTGGTTCTTCTTTTATTCTTAGATAAGATAAAGGTAAGATAATTTCTTTAATGTCAGATACACAGGGGGTGGTCTCCCAATCCCCTGAGCCACGGGCTCATGATAAAAGTGTTTGACAATATAAAAGAAAAATTAAATAATTAATATCTCAATAGCGACTAATTAAATTTAAAAAAAAATAAAAATAAAATAACATCATATCTATAAAAATAAATCGGGTCAAAGGCAATTGCTGCATTGACAGCCGATAAAATTCAACTTAGTTAAAAGTCTCCGAAAGGATGATGCATTAGGTGCGTTTTTTACAGCAGATGGCAACTGGTTCCAGATGTGCGAGATCATGTACGCATATGAACCATGAAGGAATCTACTATTATATGAAGTTTGTACAACATTTAGACCATTGCTTCTAAGATTATATGGTGTAACTCGGGGTTTGAATAAATTGACTACATAGCCTGGACCATTCTCCTTGAAACATTTAAAAAATATCATTAAGGGTTGTTCTATGCGTCTATGTTCCAAGGTATTCATATCTGCCATCCTAAGAATTGATTCATAATCGGTACTTTTCCCCATGTTTATTATAGTTCGTAGACCATAATAGCTCGCATCTTCCAGTTTCTTGTTAAGTGTTTTACCTATACGCATAAGTAAAGAGTTGCAGTATTCAAAATGTGAGAACACAAAACTCTTGTAAAGAAGCAATATAGTATTTGCCGGTACTAAACGCTAAGGCGGCGAAGTGCGCCTATCTTGGAATATACTTTCTTCAGCATGACACTTATATGTTCTCTAAAAGATAATTTGTTATCTAAACATATTCCTAGGATCTTTAAATGGTTGTTAATATCAATGGGAGTGCCGGCAAACTCCAGGTTGTATCGATAGGATGAGTTACCAAGGATCATCGCCTGGGTCTTGTCCTCGTTAACCTGTAGATAGTTAGAGGCAAACCAGGAAGATAGTTTTGCCACGTCATGGTTTAATAAGTGTTGAAGAACAACTGGGCTATAATCGGCAGTATATTTAGTTGTATCGGCTGCATAGAAACGGTGACAGTTTCGTTTATGTCGTTCATAAAGATGTTAAATGATAGAGGACTAAGGAGACTTCCCTGCGGAACGCCACATCGTACCGTTGACCAGCTAGAGCACTTGTTATTGCATATCACCCTTTGCTTGCGGCCATGCAGATATGATCTTAAGAGTTGAAGAGCCGGTTCCTGAACACCGTAAGCCTTTACTTTTGCAAGCAGTAGACTGTGGCATATGAGTAGATTGTGGCATATAGTAGATTGTGGCATATATTGTGGCTTTCATCACCAGAACTTTCGCTTTCTTCATGTTCACTCTCGTGTTCTTCTTCAACCAAATCTATCTTTCTCTTCATTTTGGTGAGTACCCGTGACAGACTGTAGCTTCAAATGAGTAACTTATAGTTTCGTTTCCTCTTTTATAGCATCAAAAATACTAGGCTAGTAACAGCAGGTACCAATAGGTCTTGAATAAAACCATCGCCCTCTTGTACAAGGATTCGCTTCGTTGTTTTGTAAGGGACATTTGTTTCTGCTAGGTTTACTAGAGCATCCTTATATGGCAACACGTTCCGCTTATTTTCTTCGGGGATAAGAATGTATTTCTTAAGTATATTGTATAAGACTTGCACTAATGCATGTAGTTGTTGTGGACTGACTGTCCGTAAAAGAAACTGTCGCTGATGAGCTGGACAAACAGCTAAGAATTGAAGAAAACCACGATTGTTCTTGACAACTTGAGACATTGCGACAAACTGAACTTATGATAGTAGTTTGCAGTCTTGTATTGACTGTCGTGGAGAAAAACAATGGAGATGTGGTGGCGGTGGTGGTGGTGGTTGTGGAGGGAAAACAATGGAAATGTGGTGGTGGTGGTGGAGGGAAAACAATAGAAATGTGGTGGCGGTGGTGGTGGTGGTTGAGGGAAAACTATTGAATTTTATAGCCTTCAAAACTATATCAATGCGCATTATGCTAGCATTTTCTCAGTGTACATTCTGCTCCTGAGGAGCTGACATGAGTTGGTTCTGTTCCGTTTGCGAAAATTCATTTAGTAGAAAGGATAGCATGCAGAGGCACGTGATGTCTAAACACCACAATGTTGGTCTTACAACATTTCAAACAGTTCCGTTTTCACAGAAATGTCAGCGGTTTCGATTCGAGCATCCTTTTACCTCCATGATTGCCGGAATGACCGGCTCAGGAAAAACAGCGTGGGTTCGATCTCTATTGCAACAAGCTTCACAGACAATTTGCCCTCCCCCGGAGAGGATCGTTTGGTGTTATTCACAATGGCAGCCAGCGTATACACAAATGTTAGTCGCCATGCCACACAATGAATTCGTCAAGAGAATTCCTACGGCTTTGGAACAGGATTCCTATTTTGATGTGAAGAAACCGAATCTGATCGTGTTTGCTGATCAGATGATTCACGCCAGTAAAGACAAGCGGATTGTGAACCTTTTTACTCGTGGTTCTCATCATCGCAATCTGAGCGTGATTTATATCGTGCAGAATCTATTTCATCAGGGGAAAGGTAGCCGCAGCATAAGCCTAAACAGCCATTATCTGGTGTTATTCAAGAATCCACGAGACAAATTGCAAATCCTGACTCTGGCAAAGCAAATGTATCCCGGGCAGACTGATTTCTTTTTAAATCAGTACGAAAAGGCTGTAAAAAGACCTTTTGGTTATCTTCTGATTGATCTGAAAACTACTACCCAAGATAATTGTCGGTTGCGAACAAACGTCCTGCCCAGTGAAGAAGGCCTTAACCAAGCAGGGTTTCAAGAAAATATTCCTCAAGAGCTTCTAAAATATCTGAAGCAGCAAACTCTTTCGCCTGTCCCGCTTCTTCCAGATATGCAAGAAATACAAGGCAACATGGATGACGGGACGATGAAAAAGCTAAGCGATACTTTCAGTTGCAAAACAGATACCTGGCTTTTAAAGAACAATTAAATACAAGAACACGATCTGAAGAAATAATCAGCACTGTTCCAGACTTAACATCAAGGACACAAGATTCTTCGACAGCAAGACAGCATTCTCCACTCCCCTTAACCCCTTTAATGAAACACCTGAATTAACACAGGCGGCTATCTCTCAAAAACCTGGCAAAGAAAGCCTCACCCCTCCACCACCCTTAAATCCTGCTCTGCTGAACCCTCCTCCTACAGTAGAAACCCCATCACAACAAGGCCCGAAGCGCAAAAGGCGTCGAATTCAATTTGTAAATTATTTGGATGATCATAAAGCTCGTGCCAAACAGCTGAAGAAACGTCGGCATAAGAAATTCAAACCTTACAAGTACTCCATGGGCGAAGAAGATGAAGATTAATTAATTTCCATTCCTTACAAATCGCTGATTATTTGACTCTTTTTGTCACTGGTTTTCAATAAAGTTTTTAAACTGTATCTCGTGTCTTGTCAATTTATTTGTCGCGTGTTTAAATTGATCCTTGTTAAGAGACAAAAGGGTTTTTTTTGTTTAGTCCAGGTACTATGTCGTACCTTTGTAATCCGTTTCAATCGGTTACAGAAATGAGACTATTTGGACTTTGCAACACATGAAAGATACGCACGGACTTTCGGAAAAGAAGAGTCTAATCTAGTCTAATCTAGTCCTCAGTCGTGCATCATTCGTCCGGCTTTCCCTTAGCATTAGATCTGTGAGGTGACATGTCTTCGTCGCTGATATAAAGTTGAAGTTTGTCATTGTTTCTGTTACCTGTACAAATCCACTGCGTTGAGGATTAGCCCCTGTATCTAAGCCGTATTCCTTCTGGACAGCCTTACTCTCACGGCGGGGAAGCAGGTTTGATTTCAGTAGAGCAATAACAATTTCGGCGTTAATGAATTTATCACAAACCAATTTTGACAGTTTTACTTAAGTAAGAAAAAAAAAACGTTTTGACGTCCGTGTTGCCATAGTAACGTTATTGCGTAAAGCGTCGTTGGTTCAGCTTTACCCTCGTTTCAATTTCAAACTTATTTTTATTTACATTAATATACCTAAACATAAAAGGTTAATAATATTTGAGCAAAGAGTAAAACTAAACCGCAACACTATATACATGTGCTTTTAATTCGTAGAGTCAATATAAACAACTGACAATGACAATGACAATGACACTTAGTTGTACGTCTGATCCAATTGGCACAATTGCTAGGTAGTCTCTTAAAGCCCCCGGCAAACGGACACAACATTGTTGGCCAACAATCCCCAACGTTGGTGGATGTTACATACTGCGTCCAATTGCACACCCTGTTGTTGTATGTTGTTGCGTGTTGTTTGGAGTTGTTGCAGCAGTTTTCACACCACTGCAGCCAACACGGACGCAACAACTCCCAGCATTCTAGGGCCAACAGTCTTGGGAGTTGTTGCCTCCGTTTGCACGTAGCTTGACTTTTCCGTCAGTGCTTTCCACAAAAGCATCCTTCGGTTCACCCGTTTACTATACTTATCTGCAATAATAGCCTCGTCCACTAATTTTCTGACTTACCTCTATTATCGCTTGCTCCTGCCTATTAATATTCACTTTACGGGTTCAAGTTTTCTCCCCCACCAGAACACGTATTGTTTGAAAGTGTTTCGTTGAATAGTTTAGAATCATCTCCACCATTCATTCATTTACTCATGGGCTCGAGTTTTGATTTTGAAGTAGAGAATAAGTTCGTTTTCTAGTGGTTGTGAAAGACTGATTTTAATAACTGCTTTGGTGTAGGTCATCTCAACACAGGCCTAAGTACATAGGAAGCATCTAAGCGGACTTCTGCGAGTTCTGCGAAGAGGTTTGAATGCATACACAGCGTTCCTCAATAGGGTCCTTCGACCTCGCCACCGATGAGAGCTCGGGATTAATTATTCTTGTAGAATTCACAGGTTTTTTAAGTGTTTCGGTGAAAGACCGAGTGGCATTGAACTGTTCCGTTTTTTTGGGCCACTTCCCGAGCAAATCCCGAGCAGAGATCATATTATCTAAACTTCAGTCTTTTAGTTGAAGAAAACATCAGTGTCGTCCCTAAAAGAGCAATTCTCTCATTAGAATTGCTAGAAAAAAATATTTTCATGACAAACTAGTCTCGGTTAGCTTAGACCTGAGGAAGACTTGATCAGTTATTAAGCAGATTATTTCTAAAAAGAAATCTGAACAACATTTTAGTAATATGAAAGACAGTACCGGTGTCTGTTCAGCCCCTTCACGTATAGCTATTAACTCAAGAGAGATTGAGCTAAGAGAGCGATTCCCTGTGCCCCATGATAATTTTTTAAAATCTATTTAAAGTTCGCGCTCTTGCTGCGAAGGTTGTTTTTGTCTGTTGTTCCCATGACCCGCGCGGTCTACTTTCACGTGAACGTGACATGTGTCGCCCCCAAACATTTGAAGTTTGACAGCCATTATAGTAATTAGCGCCAGGAGCCGATACTAATGGGCTCCTGATGTTGATATGTTTCTGATCAGCGCTTTCCTCTTATAATCTAGGAATGAATTTCATTTACAAAAGGATTGCGGTAGTGGAATCAAAATTTTACTTTGAGATTAAAGATTGAGATTTTCTAACGGCTGGTAGCCTCATTTAAAGTAACGAATATTGAATTCTGACACACTGTGAAAGCCATAGGCAAAGGTTATCACGCGCGAAACACGAAACCTTTAATAAGTGACTGGCTTCAATTGTTTATGCAAATGTGCAAGATATTTTTTCTCTTTTTCCAGGAATATTTTTCGTTCAGAAACAGTACATTTGCTTTTAAGAATTATTCTTGAGAGTTTCAAACTGCATTACTTCTTCTTAACGTCTAATACTTGCGATGAATATTTCGCTGTGCAAACACAAATCAGGTCAGATGCTTCCAGCTGTTGAATAGTCGCTAACCTGGATGCCAGAGAGTTTTGATGCGCGGTTTCCGGTTTCGGTCAATTCTTAATAGTGAGCGGTGTGCCCGCATTTGTCTAGCGTCCTCACAACAATTCAAATGTTTGGCGGCCAAACATTCATGTTTGGACCCACTTTGAACCTATTTTCTCGTTACGTGTCCACGGTTGGATCCAAACGACGGTGTCACAGCTCGTGGGTGTGCGTGGATGTCGCCGGAAGAGACAGTTGTCGTTTTTTACAATACGATGTTGGTTGTTTATATATTGATGTAGCGAAGACCTCAATAAGCAGTTTTCGCCGAGTCGGAATCGCTTTCTCCGGCGAACTCCCACAAGCCAGGATCGTTTTGCTCTTCGTCACCTACTCTGGCCAGATTATTCCACGTATAAAGCTTTTGACTCGTCGACTAAAGTAATACCAAGTTTGCACGTCATATCTCTTGCGGTGCGTGATCGGCAGTGAAATGAATTACCCGCCATGTTTAAAATTACATGACGCCACTCTAACCGACCAATAAGGTAGCTTCCTTAAAATAACCACGCAGTACGACACAGAACCAAGAATAGATTGAAAATAATTTTCATTGGAAGAGGGTCATGTATGGGGGATTCGCTGTCTTAGATCATTCTCTCTTGTATTAACTTTAATCATTTCTTTGCTGACATAGGACCCTCTCTGGCCAGTAAAGTTCCATCTACTCAATTTTCTCATAAAGATTTCCTTGTTGGTCACTTTGCTGATTGCTTCTTTCTAAATCCCACTTCTCCTGCTGAGGTTGCCTCTATTGTCCATAGTCTAAAAAATAGCAAATGTGAGGGTGTTGATGGTCTTTCTATGTCTCTCATCAAAGAAACAATTTATTTACTTGCTGCTCCTTTATCTCATATTTGCAATCTATCATTTTAGCGTGGTGTCTTTCCTGATAAACTCAAAATTGCAAAGATTCTTCCAGTTTTTAAAAGTGATGATCCTTCTTTGTTTTCAAACTATCGGCCTATTTCTATTCTGCCCTGTCTTTCTAAGGTCTTCGAGAAACTTTTTTTACCTCAAATTATCAGGATTTCTCACAAAGTTTAATATCCTTAATCATTATCAGTATGGCTTTAGACCACATCACTCTACTGCTATGGCTATCTTAGAACTTGTCAACAATATTTATGAAGGTTTTGAAAACAATCAGTATACTGTTAGAGTCTTCATTGCTCTTAAGAAAGCATTTGATACAGTCAACCATGAAATACTTCTGGATAAACTAAATTTTTATGGCATTAGAGGTATCCCGTTAACCTCACTGACTAGCTATTTGTCTCACAGACAGCAGTGCGTCACGGTCCATGACCATACCTCTTCATATAATTCGGTCGTTTGTGCGGGTTTTCAGTTCTTGGACTTTTACTTTTTCTTTTATACATCAATGATCTTTTTTATGTTTTCAACCTCTTGTCTATCATTCTCTTTGCTGATGATACAAATATCTTTCTTCGTCATAATGACCTGGCTACCTTAGCAACCATTCTTAATGTAGAGCTATCTCATGTTTCTTCTTTGTTTAATGCTAACAAACTCACTGTTCATCTTGCCAAGTCTAAATTCATCATTTTTCACCCTCGACGTAAATAAACTAACTCCTCAGATATAAACATATTTATAAATAATTCTTTCATCACACGTGTGCAAGAAGACAAATTTCTTGGGATTATCTTTCATGAAAATTTATCTTGGAAACCGCATATCTCTGCTGTCTGTGATAAAGTCTCTAAAGTAATAGGAGTCTTAGGCAAGTCAAGGCGATACTTACCTCTGAATACTTTGAAAACTTTATATAATTCTCTTTACTTACCTTAAATCAATTATTGCAGTTTAATATGGGCATCCACTTATGCTTCTTACCTTAAGCCCCTTTATGTACTTCAAAAGAAAGCCGTTCGTATAATTACTTTTTCTCCTCCGCGCACATTCTCTAAGCCCCTTTTTTCTAAGCATAATATTCTTGCACTCTACTCTATCTATAAATTCCATGTTGCTTGTTTTGTATTCTCACATTTTAATAGCCTTTTACCTACTCCGGTTTCCTCGATCCTTCATTTTAATTCTGAATATCACGATTATATGACTCGTTCACGTTTTGATCTGCATAAAACCTGTCATAAGTAACAATTTGCTATCACTTGGCAAGCTCCTATTATTTGGAATGATATTCCGTTATCTTTGCGCAATAATCTCACAGTAAGTAACTTTAAACTTAAGACTGTATTTTTCTGAGTAGTTAATTAGCCTACGCATAATCTGTACACCTTATGGGACTATAATAGGTGTATTTGTTTGTATTTGTTTGTGTGGTTTATGGGAATTATTAGTTGTTTAAATATTTGAAATTAGTTGCCAAGTATTGTATTTCAGTTGTAATTTTTTTTTCTGACAGATCTTTTCTTTCTTGATTTAATTGTATTGTAATTATTTTAGTTAAAGCCTTCTTCCATTCATGTAAATTCTTCACGTCTTTTTTTGCTGACCTTAGGCCACTTAAGCCCCCGGCTTTGGCTGTTCCTGTGTATTTTTTCTTCCAGTGCGTGATCTGTATTAATAAAAGTTAAATAAAAGTTAGTTAAAGGACATTTCATACTGTCTCTAGCTGTCTGTACGACAGTTGTGATAAGGGGACTTTAAAATGTCACTTGAGTAATCACCAGGAGCGTGACGAAAGAAACTTCATTCCCTGTGAAAACAGGAAGGAAGATAAAAAAAAAAAATTAGTAACAGCGGCACGGGTAAAGGAGAGGAATTAAAGGGAAGTCGACTTTCCTCATTCCCTTTTTCTTACAAGATCGCCACTTAAAGATGTAATAAGTCTTATTCACCAAGCTTAAAAGAAACTACAGGCAACGTGGTTAGGTTTTAATAAGTCAGTCAAGCACCCTGTATGTTTTCTTCTCTCATTCTTTGCTCGCCTCAGTTTTCTTTTGCCTTCCTGTTCAAGCGCTGACCACGCACGTTACTCTGACCCCCTTCAAACGCCTACCCCGCACGCTTTCTAATCCCCTCCCTTTCAAAGTTAACGCTTGCCTAGCAAGCTACTCGCTATGCTCTCACTTCCACGTCAAACGCTTCCAATTGCCTAGCAAGCTACTTTCCCGTTCATATTCAAACGGCAAAAAGCTTCTTATAACCCACCTTCACACTATCACACTAAGCTCTCCCCTTTTAAAAGCTAATCACACACACTAGCTCCTCCCTTCACCTTCAAACGCCAACTGTGCACTCTACTCTCCACCCTCGCGTCAAAGAGCAAACCAAATACGCTAACCTCGTCCTTCCCTTCATATGCTTGCAACAAACGCTGCCCTTGCCATGCACGATACCCTCACCCTCTTAGGTCAAACGAATAACACATACGCTATTTTCCAGCCCCATTTACACTTCACACCACTCGCCCCACTCTCCCCATTGTAGTTTCAAACACCTGTCACGCAGGATACTCTTTCCCTCCCGCTTGAAACGCCTGCCACGCAGGATAGCCTTTCCCTCCCGCTTGAAACACCTGAGAAGCACGCTAACCTTTCCCTCCCTCTTGAAACGCCTCCCACGCTGGATAGCCCTTCCCTCCCGCTTAAAGCACCTGCCAAGCAAGCTACCCTTTCCCTTCCGCTTGACACACCTGCCACGCAGGATACTCTTCCTCTCCCACTTGAAACGCCTGCCAAGCACGCTGCCCTTTCCCTCCCACTTGACGCTCCTGCCAAGCACGTTTCCCTTAGATTCCCGCTTGAAACGTCTGCCAAACACGCTACCGTTGCCCTCCCGCTTGAAACGCCTGCCAAGCTCGCTACCCTTCCCCTCCCACTTGAAACGAATGCGAAGCACGCTACCCTTGCCCTCCGGCTTGAAACGCCTGCCAAGCACGCTACCCTTTCCCTCCCACTTGGAACGAATGCGACGCAAGGTACCTTTCCCTCCTACTTTAAACGCCTGCCAATCACGGTACCCTTTCCCTCACGCTTGACACTCCTGCCAAGCACTCTACCCTTTCCCTCCCGTTTGAAACACTTGCCAAGCACGGTACCCCCCCTCTTCCCACTTGAAACGCCTGCCAAGCACGCTACCCTTTCCCTTCCGGTTGAAACTTCTGCTAAGCACGCTACCCTTTTCCTCCCGCTTGAAACACTTGCCAAGCACGCTACCCTTTCCATCCCGCTTGTAACGCCTGCCATGCAGGATACTCTTTCCCTCCCACTTGAAACGCTTGCCAAGCACGCTACCCTTTCCCTCCCACTTGAAACGCTTGCCAAGCACGCTACCCTTAGCCTCCAGCTTGAAACGTATGCCAAGCACGCTACCCTTTCCCTCCCACTCGAAACGCCTGCGAAGCACGCTACCCTGTCCGTCCCACTGTTTCCTGGGACCCACATTTTAAATGCGACATTGTCAGACTAGAGGGCAGTGCAAAAAGCAGCTCGCTTACGTACAAATGATATGACTGCTCCTAAAGCGTCAGTTCCCTGCTAAAGAAATAGGATCTATGCACCCTCGAAGAAAGTAGAAAAAGATCTCGCTTGATCTCAGGCATGCATAAAATTATTCATGGTTTGGTTGATATTAAGTTTGACGATTTTTTTTTTTTTTTTCAGCAGTAAGACTCGATCGTACATGGAGCAGCCATACATTTAAGCTTCTTGAACCCTACTGTAAGAAAAATGTTTTCAAGTTTTCCTTTTTCCCAAGAACAGCTAGGGACTCAGGAACTAGTTCCTCCCTGATATGCCTCTTATTTCGTCCCTTGAAGAATTTCAGAACTTCCTTAGTGAATTTTTTAAATAAATAACAATTATTCACCGAAGTGGAGGTGGCTAGTGGTGAGTTTTTTAGATGTCCACCACTAGCCACCGACACTTCGGTGAAGAATTGTCTTAGTATATACTAAAACAGTGAGATAATTGAGCACAAAAAGGATGATTTTTAACTCATTTGCTGTTGCCAAGGATTATAATTTTGGCGCAAATGACCGAACGGCCGTGGCCGTCGCTTTTTCTTGCCGACAAATAAAACTTTTGAAGGCATTTGTTTAGCACTTGCGGGGAAATTTCTTCAAAAGGAGTTGTGAATTCTTTTTGTATTTAAATCATTCTGTAAAAAAGATTATTAACTTTAGTTTTAAGCTTATTTATGTACAAGTCAACTAAAGAAGTAACGCAAGACTTTTAAAAAAAACTGGCCCAAAAGCTTTTGAGAGAAACAAATTTATTAATTAATTTCACTCGAGTGCTACTAAGTTGCACTCGCTAGCATTCACTTAATATGCACTTTTACCTGTATCATTAGAAATTAGTTGACAGATTACTTTTTGCAATTATTTAGACTTTTTCTTCTAACTTTTGGCGTGGAGAAGAATGTAAGTGAAATATTTAACCTTAACAGAACTTCGGCCACAGACGTAAAAAAAGATTTCTTCCCCTATTTTGCGCGACTCTTCGTCAGTCCTTTCATGTTAATAATTATAAGCAGCTTACTTTTAATGGGCAGTCTCACTTAGCTTCACTTCTTCGAAAGGATATGAATAAGCGATTTTGGAGATTTTGCTTTATCGTTGTTCTTTCTTTTTGAAAAGGTTCAGTCCCCAAGGATTCATGATAATAAGGTGTTTGAACAATACCATGGTAGCCCTTCTAAATCAAATAAAAAACCACAAATAAAAATTAATTAATTAAACAGGAAAGACTGAGAAATTAGCTGCATCCCTCTTTACTTTTCCTCCTCCACCCCTCACAGACAGTTTCTGTTACACTACCCGCCCCCAGGTCGTTAAGAATTCAAATAACCTTTTGCAAGAACGACCGTCAAGCTGAGCATCACGGTGCTTGGGAGGTTTAGGAAAGCAGGCCCATTAAAATGTTATAAGACATTGTCTTATAGTATCACTGGCACCACTTGTGCAATGCAATTGCCGAAATCTTAGCAAAGTTAATAAAAATTGTTTTCTGTTCTAATAGGCCTGGATAAGTCGTGACGGAAGTATTTTACAGTTTCCGTTGACATTAAAGGTTTGGCAAATTTTGGGAGAAAACATTGTAAAACTACATTGATTAGGCCCGCCAATGTATTAGGATTGCCTGTTCTGAATCAACCGATCATCTACTACTGTTGTGAAAGTTTTAAATGTTTCTGGCGGCTGATCTGATGAGGATTTAATAATAAAACTTTTCTAGTCTAAAACAGGGGCAAGAATAACGTATCTTGTTGAGGTCTTCCCATAATCTAACATCTAAAATGTATGTTTCGTAGTATGTTCATGGCAGCGAGCCGTACTTGCCGCATCTTCCAACAGTAAATCAAAGGATCGAGGGATGAGTTGAGATATACCAAAGCGTCCGAGAAATAGATAATTTCGGAGGGAAAAGAGGCATCTACTACAATCATTAAAGTTAGACATGCGTTTGGCAAGTAGCAAATCAATAGCGTGAGATATAAGTAGAAAATGGCGACTGTACATTTTTTCTGTCTAGCAGTATCTTCAATCGCCACCGTGGTCTGAGAATCTAGATTTATGTTAAGGGCTTGAGCTTGCATAATATGGTGTTTCAAAACTACATAGAGTTTAACGTAAATTATTGCTATTGCGACAAGACAACCAAGGGTAATAAAAACGATGATGGCGAGGATTATCCTATTGGCCTTCTCAGAATGTATTCTTGTTCGCGGGAGCGAAAGAACTGCACTCAAAACCCTATTTGAGATAACCACAGCCTCAACGCGTCTGTGAGTAACGATTTCCTGGTATCGAGGTTGAAGATGAATTGTTAGGAATCTGTCAACTGATACAGCACAAATACCCAACAGCGTAGCAGTACAAAAAAATGTGGCTGAAATAATATTCACTCTTGCCAATGGTGCGACAATCGGATTGCGTTTATCAATCAAATGAAGTGCCACGTTCAATGGCAGGACAAGCAAACCAACACAAAGATCTGAGACACTGATACTTAGAAGTAGTATTTTTAAAGGCTTCCGAAGTGATGGAGTTTTTCTCAACGCGATAATTGCAACGATGTTTAACATGATGGCGGCACAACTTGTAAAGCTGTTCATGGCAATGGAAAAGACGGTCATTGCTCCTGTCGTTGTAGAGAGCTTCTCCTGTTCACTTTTATTTCTCGTTTAGTACTCAGTTCGATTCACACAGGTCCATGGCCAGTCTTTATTCCACTGATGGCCAGTCCTGTTTTTGATTTAAACATAAGTTAATTTTTAAACATACACCTCATACAATTCGTTAAATCCAGCGTAAACTTCGCTAAAACTTAAAATATTCATTTATACTCTTCGTGTACTTGATCGTTCGTTGACCTGACGTTGTTTGCTCTTTAAAATTTAACAATAGTGGCTTAAAATATTTCTGCATATTTAATATCATGGTTAGGGCAATTTAGTATTGGTTCAGGTTTTTCAGCCTCGAGTATAATCAACAGGCATGAATATTCAGTTAAATTGTAAGAAAAAATAAATGAAGACTCTTTATGAGGTTTTCTGCACTGTAAAATGTCGCATAGCAGAAGTGGATCAACGAACCATACCGGTTAGTCTTATTTATCGGCGCGGCGTAGGGCACGGAAAAGAATTCGAAGGAAATGAGAATAAGAGACACGAAAATTTTTTGGCTTTGTTGGGACTGAGACAAAAGTCCGGATATTGGTTTTTTCATCTTCCAGTGCAAAGTTGATATTTACCAGCCTCTTCAACTTTTTCCAAAGCTTAACAGCAGCTAAATGTAGATTCTATGATTCACCGTTTTTCATTTTCGGGTTTTCCTTTGCAGCCATGCGTATAGTTATTTATGAAATAATGATGTATTTTCAGCATGAAATTAACGTCTGAGTGTTGTATCCTCTTCGCGAAACAACAAACAAAAAATATTTGTTTATGTATTTTCACATTTTGGTCTAGTGAAAAACAGGACATATAATTTTCGTCCCCACCGTTTCGTTTGCCTGTGTTACTGAATAAAAGAACTTCTCAGGAGAGATGCTGTTAAGGTGGCTGAACACAGTTTTGTCGGCAGTCAGCGGTAACTCGCGTGACGGCGCGTGTTTTAAATTAGACAAACAAACATGGTGGCGAAAAAAGCAATGGTACACAGAAGACGATTTCTCAAAATCTACTCATCAAAATTTTGTGATATTTGGCAGAATTTTGATTTTTATCGTATTCTAAATAATGAGAACTTAAAATGAAAGTTGAACAGACGAATTTGTGATACATTTAATAATTACAATAGAATCATATTATTGATTATCTGAAAACCCGTCTGTTAAAATTTGGTCAAATAAGTTTCAAATGGTAATGATTAATTATAGTAAGCTGTGCGCAACTTTATAGGAAAATCTAATGAGCGAATTTTATGTAAATTGAGCAAAAGTGAAATTTTAAGGTTGTATTCAATCGTTCATGTTGCCATGGAAACAACGAAAACGTCACATTTTACCTGTCGATCAAAATCTTTCATCAGTATATTTTTTACTTGCCCAGTTTCAGCTTGTGAGCTGCAACCATCCTGTTGCCATGATTTGACAAATGACATATACCCACAAACTGCCAACACTGCGTTCAGCCACCTTAAGAACAGACCTCTAAAGGATGATGGCGGTAAAACTTGTAAAGCAGTTGATGGCAAAGGAAAGGAGTTTGCTTTGGTCATTGTTGAGAGCTTAATTTAAGAGAAGGCCCTTTACAGCATCTGCTACCTTATTCTGAAAACCACACGACTGGGGAGTGTGAAAGATGATTCGGTTTCAATTTCTAAGCTTATGGTTTTAAGGACGTCACAGTCCGACAGCTATCCGACCGGTAACCCGCAACTAGGCGACCTTAACGGTTTTAAGTTCGACCTGGCGAACTGTCAATCGAAGTTAAGGCCAAATGTTTCGACGGAAGTTTGACATGCACAAAATAGGATTCAGTTTCCAAAATTAATTAAAGAAAAAACCTTTCCTCTAAAAGTGTTTTAAACCGTAATAAATTTTTTAAATTTGCAAATAGACAATTAGACCGGCATAAAAAAGGGGTGCATTATCAGACACCATATGTTCATAGCTCTTTTTGCATGCACCTGCAGAAGCGAGATTATATAAATAATACAAAGAACATATCAGTCAAACTCTTGTTGGAAGACGATAAAGGAACGACTGGTTAACAGCAACATGAATTATGAAATGAGTTTAAGGACTATTCAAGACTGATACATGTAATTCAAATATAGGTTAAAACAGTCATAAAGTGTGGCAAACAATCAACCTTTCTCGGCATATGGCAAAAATAATTCTATTTTACAGGACGAACTTATTTTGACCGAATGTTAAAACTTTCCCACTTTTTTTACCGGTTTTTCTTTTCTTTCCTTTTTAAATGCAGATTCAGACTCACATTCGGTTGGAGTTATAATAGAAGAGTTAAATCCTCACGAATAGGAAATGATCAGAAAACAGCTCCCTAAAGAGAATAACCGAGTTGTAATGAGTCCGTCGTTTAGACGCTCGCAGATTCCTTACCTTGAAACACAACTCCCTTGCGAACACCGGTTCATTTTTAGGACCCGTAGGCCTACGATTTTTAGGTAAATGCAAATTTCGATCCGTGCGAGGTCCCTATAGCATGGTACACTCACTGATGATACGGTGAAAAATTACACCGCAAAATTAGCAAATGCAAAAAATGTCCTTACTTTTTGTACTTTTTTAACTCCTTGTAGGTTTATTGGGAAGTCTAAATTGCAGAGAAAATCGCTTTAAAACAGAAAAGGAAAAAAACAACAAACAAAAACAAAAAGAAAAAACACAGACACCCCCCAAAAAACTTAACAAAACTGTGACAATGCTTCTGGCAATAGGATCCTATTAATAAAGATATGACTTGTGGAAATCAATTACGCTGGCCTTCTTCGCGACATCTTTATTTCTCTGTTTAAGATTACTTCTTTTACTCTATTGATGGGTTTTCATTACGTTAAAGCTGCTCCCTGTCTCGATTAGAAGACATAAAGAATATTTTAACAAAAACAATTAGCTCTATAGATTCAAATGGCTTTTAAATGACAAATCCGACGGGTAGTGAAATCAATTATGTACACTGCTTAACTCAATGTATCTATAATTCTTGGGTCAAATATCACTTCTAACAATTTAAATTTGAAAATTTGACAGGTCTTTGTTAAATCGTGAAGTAACATGAATTAGTATCCGCTATTTTTATTCGGTTTTCGTTTTTGGCAAGGAATAAAAATGTTACTAACCCAATTCTGAATTTTTTTTACAGTACAGGGTAGCCAAACTAGTTCGAGCGAAGATCTTCGCGCGCATGCAGTTGCCAACAAGGTAGAGTTGTCAATAATGACAGCCGAGGCTCCTCAAATAACGTCCACTTTGTATTTGTGACTAATGCATTTATAGCAGCTTTGATCACGGACTAGTGCATACTGTTACGACATGGATAACAAATAACATAAAATGAGTCGAAGCAGCATGGAAACTGGACTAGTTACAAGTTCAAAGCAGCGGTCATGCCTTAAAGCAATAATTATAACGGAAGTAGGCTTTTCTTTCAGTTTCCTTCGTAACGCTCGTTTTATAAGGCCTACGTACCCTCAAAGTAAACTGCTTATTCGTTTGCGTTGCGGTTGCGGTCTTTGTTTAAGTCGGTCCTCTTTGACTTCTGATATATTTTAAACATATCCCTCCACTAAAAGGAGAAAAAAAATCATACATTAAAACTCATTTCAAAACACCTGACTATCAAATAACCCCGATAATATTTCCGCTTATTATGCATGCGACAATGCATTCTCTCTGGTTAGTCGTCCAGCGGCAGTTAGGCTCCAAAAGTACATTTCAGTTAAGTACACTGTATATGAAATATTAATTACGAAAATGTTTTATCCAAGAAAGGAGGCGAAACTGGTTTTAATTTTCTTTTGAGCAGTGCAACCTCAAAGAAAAGCAAGTAGTAGCAACCTTGTTTCCAGTATGAAAAAAGCCTGGGGACTCTGCACTATTTACCAGAGTACAGATTCGCAAACAGAGACGTAACATCCTTTATAGTGGCTAATTCACCTTACTATTTTAGAATCACTTTTGTACCAAAGTTTAAAAACAACTGTTTTCTTCGTCACTAACAGTTTAGAGGAAGGTGTTTCCTTTTAGGTAATCATTTCTAGCTTAAATACAAGTAAATCACTGGGGCCACATTGCATTCCAGTGAAAATTCTTAAATTATTGAAGAGCATCTTGTGTTATCTATTATCTTATTTTTTTAATTGTTCTTTTTCTTTAGGCTTAGTGCCAGATAAGTTAAAAGTCGGGAGAGTGATACCCCTATACAAAAGAGGTAACCAGGCTTTAGTATCCAATTATAGACCAATTACTTTGTTATCGCCCCATGTAAGGGAATCCGGATTCCGGAATCCAGGAATTTTTTGCTTGTGGAATCCGGAATCCTGGGCTTTGGAATCCGGAATCCAGCACTAGGGACCCGGAATCCTACTAAAGATTGGAATCCAGAATCCAACTTCCTAAAGATCCATTCCTGATTGGATTGAGCTACTCGCTCGAAAGAAGAACCATCTGTGGAAAGCCTCCCCAGGGTATATGCCTCAACGTGATGACATACAGTGTAATATCGGCATATCTGGTGTCAAAACCATAGTTGACAAGCTCCATATGAAAGGTCACGGTCAGCGGGGGAACCCTTGCTTATGAGCGGCTGGCAGGATCACAAAATTCGGGGGTTTTCGAGGGAATACAGCGCAGCCTTTTTAAGGTATAAATTGGATTGTTGTGAATAACTTCAGTCTCTGGCTATGTTTGATTCTCTGTTGTTCACTCGCTTCGCTGAACTTAAAAAATCAAAAGCGATTTGACCTGGCATAGGACCGGAAAAGGTGCACCTGGGGTGAACCTTTTCTTGAACCTTCCTGGTCCTCTCCTGGTCCTCCTGGTTCTCAATTGAAAATAAACTTCCACTTTCAACATTTTACCAAAAAAGAAAAAAAAGAAATTCACAGTCTCTTAGTCCCTAATTTGGTCCTAGTAGTTGCGGTAAGAACAGTTTCATGGTTTCGATAATCTTTATTTGAGAAATAAGCTAGGTACTGTCAGAACCGTACCAATCAGCTGTCACTAAAGTAATCACGTGCAAGGCCGCGGTGGGTGCCTTTTTCATTCATCCCCGGCATTCGAGTGAAATCTCGCCACCTCATCGATGAGACGAGCCTTTTGAAGTTTGTTGTCTGTTGAATTTTTCTTTTCTACCTTATTAAACAAGAAAAAGAAAACGTTATGGGAAAGCACAAGCAAAAACAAAAGGCTGAAAGAGAAAGGTACGTGTAATACTGTGATGTGAAATTTTATACCAGTTTTTAGCTGACTGATAGATCTAAACGTGCCAAAGGCAAAGCTGCATGAATTTTCGTTTGTGTCGATCTGTGGACTGTAACGTGCCGGTAAGCAAGTCACAAACATGAACGAAAAATTGATTTTTTTTCTCAATCATAATTGAATGTGATATGACGTTTACGTCGTCCGTGGAGAAAATATCGTATAAATGAGCGCTATATGGTTGTAAAACGCTTAAAACTAGCCAACGCGTAAGAAACGCTTAAGTCTCTCTTCATCTCTCAGTCATCTCAGTCTCGGTCGAGGAACAGACGGATTTTTCATGTTTTCTTTCTACAGTTGTGTTCCTGAATAGGCCTCGTTCACATTGAGGTCGCTTTTGGAAATTAGACCGATCTGAGATCGGTTTAGTCCGTAACTTTTTTTTGTTAGAAATGGATCCGAGAGACCCCAGACCATCTCAGAGACCCAGATCTCTTATTGACGAAGCCGAGGGCGAGATCTGGTCAAATCCGATTATTGCCTGTCAGGAATGTGACAGGCGATGAAAGAGCGCATGCTCGAAATAAATCCTCAATTTTCGACGTCTTAAACAACGAATTTGATAGAGCCGTGAAGTCTTTTTTCTAACAAAACGTGGTTATACGCACATCCTAAGTATGAAACAACTATTGTTTTGTTGTTTTTGTTCTTTTTAACATCAAATTCAACCGCGACAGTTAGTTTGAATTTCATTATCATTGAGCGCGCTATAAAACCTCAAAGCAGTACTCGTCAACTTCTACGCGAGAATTTATACCCTCTTCAAAAGTCTTTATTGACACGGAGAGAGAGTTTTAAAAAGTCTTAAAGGATAAGATAAAAATGGTTTTCCAAGATTTGAGACGGAAAACTACTCTTTAGAGAACGGAACCAAGGACTTTAATTTGCAAAGAATGAATTGCACACGCCACAGCGTATTTTTATTTGGCCAGCTGAACTAATAAAACGAGAAACCAGGCAAAAAGAGACAAAACGACCTAAACGATCCACAGCGATAAAAAATAATCGACAAAAGATCCACAACGACCCAAAACAAGCCAAAACAAGTTCCACCCTCCTAGGAACGTCGGCTAAAATTGATTAAATGAAAAATATTTCACTGCGTTTTCATACCCGGAGCGTAGGATGATCTGTATGGTCTTTTTATGCAAAAAGGGGTTCTTAGGGGTTCGTCACGGGAACGCGTGACGAACCCCTAAGAACGTCTGCGTGGGAGGCTAGTAATTTTGTAAATCGAAAAAGAAAACAAACTTGTTATGCCCTCTAATAACGCCTTTCAATATGGCAAGATTCGAACACGAAAACAAAGTGCGAAGAAAAGAATTATAACCTGAAAAAAATGGAATCCACCTCTTTTTGGAAACCGGAATCCACTGTGCTGGAATCTGGAATCCAGTACCCGGGATCCGGAATCCACAGCATATGGAATCCAGAATCCAAGACTGTCCTGGATTCCCTTACATGGGGCGATTGTTATCTGTTTTTCTTAACATAATGGAGAAGCTCATGTTCAATAGATTAATTTTCTTGATAAACATAATGTACTAGATGATAATCAATTTGGTTTTCGTAGTGGACGCTCCACTACTCAGGCTTTTATGCTTATCACTGATAAAATCCAAAGAGCCATTGAAAACAAAATATACTCCTGCGGGATATTTTTGGACTTACGAGCCAGTCTCTGTAAGATCCTCATATCGAGTTTTGCCTACAAAATAGATTTCGCTCGTAATTTTGCTGTAGACTTCTTTCAGTAAGTATATAACAAATATGAAACTAGACTGGAGAAATTCGCTTATGTAAATTTTTTTTTAACGAATTTTCTTTCGGCACCACATGAGGGCCCGAAATGCTTGTAAAATATCCAAATCTTGTCAAAATTCAACCGATTGCTCTGGATAAAGGAGTGCGTCCCAAAGTTTTCAGTTTACTTATTACTTTAATTAAACCTTTATCTTAAAAATAATACAGGTCATAATCATCGACACCTTTTTGTATACAAACTCTGAGGAAACACACTTAGCCCCTTTGACCCATTTAGCGAAACATGCGATTTTAGCCAAATTCAGTGGATTAAATCTCAAAAGTGGCTCACACTTACAGACTCTCCTGCATATCATTGTGTAGTTCCATCCTTCAGCTACTGAATCGTGTTAAACGTGTTGGCGGCCATTCAGTTTTGGTCGAGGGGTGAGTGGCGAAAGTTGCCTTACTTGGCCATTTCGCCGGCGATTCGCCATCGTCAAGTCCAGAAGGATTGTCAGAATAGAAAGCGAGAAATCGGGTATATACCACTCGAAGATTGTCCATTCTTAAAGACTGCATACTTTCAATCACTGTTTTCCATATGGGTATGGTTTTAACCCAACAAAGAAGGGGTAGAAGAGGGTGGAACGTGATCGTTTTTGACAGCATTTCGCCAACAGTAAAAATAAAACAAAAATTTTAGGGCTAGAATTGAAAGCTGTATCACATAATGAATTTCGTCTTTATTCTTGCTTCGGAAGGGTAACTTTGTTATTTAATGCAGTAGCTCTTTTTTCCATTGTAGAAATAGCATGTTCAGAAGGTGGTTGGACAAACAGTTCATGTAATTGCATTCGGAGACCCCATAACTCATTTTCCTCGTAATTTTGCTTCTAAAATCTTTGATTGTCCCGATCATATCAATTCTGACACCCCTGAGTTAATTGTGCGTTGGATATATCATTCATTGTTGCTTTTAAGGCTCTAATTGACTTACCTTCCTGAATTACGCGATTTTTGCTTAATGCCACATTTTTTTTTTCTTAGTATAATATAAGTGTTTAAATCATGTCTCCAAAAACAAAATAAAGTAGCGGAAATTATATCCGTTCCACGAACCCAATTTCAAAAGTAACTTAGAGTTATTTTAAATCCCAGAAGTAAATAAGACGTTTAAATTAACCTCTGCGGAGATGACCACACGTTTCCCTTTATCTCCGCTTTTACGTGTTTAGGGCTTCCCGTAATAAACATCTTCATTAGCTGAAAAATTCCGGTGGTGCAATTATATAAATGAATGTTGTTTTGTTGAGGTAATGCTGCCGTGGCAAGGGGAAAACGAAGAGCACGCTATTCGAATTCGTATTCAAGGTAATTTTAAATTATTTCAACATCCCTTCCAATTCCATGACAAAATAATTAGGTCGATGCGCCGTTCGCATTTGCAAAAGTGCAGGGGGATCAGTATCTCTGATCTAACACACAAGAATAAATTATTTCGTGAATTGAAATTGTTCTATTCAAAGCTTAAAGTAGTCGGTCAAACACTCATGAAAACAAAGATTGATTTCATATTGAATGGTTTTTGCGAGTTTTTTCTTTTTTTTTTGGCGGGTAGAGATAGCAAGAAGACAAGTTTCAGAAAACAAGTTTCAGTTTGTCAACCAGCATTTTGCTACAATGCTCGGTCTATGCGACTCTATATATGGTGTTTCTGTCTCCGTCGTCAAAATTCATTAAGTCATTAAAATTGACGTAGAGGTAGGTATTCCATTCAATGAGTTGGTAGGTTACTTTACGTAAGGTGGCCATTTTGTCGATGCAAGAGCAAGCCTTTCTAAAGCTTGAATGCCGATTCTGTTTAGCGTCCTCTGCCTGCTGAAAACGATAAAAGTAACTATGATCTTTATAGCATCTTACGAAAATCAGTCATACCTCTCTACAATTCACGCATTGCCGCATTCCTCTTTCTTAAGATTTTTAACAATCCGGCTTTTTTCCAGTCATGTGGCATCCTCTCCTCTTGGGAGGTCTTGCAAGTATTTTGTGAGAACGTAAAGGCAACTACTGTAGTACTCTTTCTGTGTGTAGCGTACCCTTTTCGATCTCTTATGGCCTCGGGTTCGTACCAAGCCTTCTTGTGTCCCCATAATTGACAGCATATACCTCGTCATTCCATTTACTATAATGATGAATCATTTTGTCTAGTGCATGGTTTTTAGATTTCCCATATGTAGTGTTGTCTGCCAGTATATACAGATTGTTATGAGCTAGATCAAAGACGGTCTAAGAGAAGGGTTGTGTAGTTTTGGTGTTATGTGGTCGTAATCTTGTTCAATCAGTTCTGACTTAAATGTGAATATTTCAAACTCTGCAATAGACAAGGAAACTAGGACATATTCGGAGAAAAGATAATTGTAAACACTTAACTTGGAAACATGAACGCGTTCGACTGTAAGCAGACCGACTACCGCTGGGCGAAGTAGGTGACGATGAACACGTTCTTATAAGAGTTTTCTCGAGGCCAAGGGTATCAAAAAAGATTCACAAAAATTAGCCTTACTCTTATATTGTGCTAGACAAGATGTACAGGACATTTTTGCTACGCTGAGCGACCCTGGATCTGGACCAGAAGAAGAAACACAGAATGCGGAAGCATTGAAATTACTGGATGCACATTTTCCCCTCAAGTAAACGTCACATTTGAAAGGCAATAGTTCCTACAAGCAAGACAGGAGGAGTCCGACACGGCAGATCTGTTTGTGACCAGACTATTCCAGCTTGCCGAGAACTGCGACATCCACAAATCGAAGAACATGATCTTTGCAGGAAGCTCATCACACTTCCAAAGGCCGCTCCGGGATATTGCTTGGTTCATGAAATGTGCCGAAAGTCGCGGGCGTAGTCAATTAAAACTAATTCACGAAGCGGAAACATCAATTCCTCGGAGCGGGAAACTTTTTTTTCGTTCAAAAGTGGAGGTGGAAGTTGTTTTTGTTGTAGACTCAAAAGCCATTTTGCAAAAGATCCAGAGAACAAGGCAAGTCTTGTTACCGTATTTATTCGAATAAGCGCCCAACCTCGAATTAGCGCCCACCTCGAATAAGCGCCCATCCTAAAGGCAGATAAAGTTAATAAGCCATCAGCCTCGAATAAGCGCTCACCCCACCCCACTCCCTCCCACAAAAACTCCAATAAGATATAATAAGAGACCCTCCCGAAGACGGAGTTTTCTTCAGGGTAGTATTGTACACAAACCTTGCTTTGTTACATCTTAGTTTTTTGTTATTAGCATTTACTGTTTTGTTGCAAAATATACTACTACACTTGCCGAGAATGGTGAAAATTTAATAAGCGCCCACCTCGAATAAGCTCCCACTCTCAAGGTCCAAAAATTTAACAAGCGCCCAGGGCGGTTAATCGAATAAATACGGTATTTGCATGAAATGCATATTTTCCGAACCTTTTAAAACGAAAGAAGAGGATATCAATAGACCCCAGAGAGGGAGCTGTTTGCGCTCCGCGGTTTTCTTACTTCCGTTCCTTCTGGACTGCTCAACGAACGTAGCAAATGAGAGTATCGCGTCTAAAACCATCCCTAGACGCAAGAATATTGTTCTACGTGGTACAATTGGTTCTGGTTGGGAAGAAGGGAGCTAAATGAATTGTATCCGCAATTCTGACATCTAGCACATTTCACTGGGACATTTGCAATACTCATATAGAGAGGGTTACTTCAGTCCCTAGAGAGTGCCTTTGTCAACCACCAAACACTCACTGATTGCCTCTCACCAGACCTTGTTAACATCATAAGGTCTTTTGTTTTGATGTTGAATGAAATATTTGACGTTCAATGAAATATGTGATAAACACGCACCTTTAATGAAAAGATAAAAACCCGTAGCAAGTGCGACCTTTGGATCACTAACGAAATAAGAAGAAAGATGAATTATAGGTACAAGCTCTTTAAGGACGTTTGCGCGAAAATCTTCTAACATTAATTTTTTTCTGAAACTTTCACCAGTTTGAGATTATGGGTTACTCATGCCAAAAATGTAAAAAAATTGGGGGGTCACCGAATTCTTTTCGGAGATACGATGTTCAAAAGATCACCCAAAATCTGAGAAATCGGGCTTCGTTACTGCATACGGATAAAGTACCTGTTTGTGCAAAAAATTTATAAATAAATCCCTGAATTGAAATTTTATCCGCCAATTATTGTTCTTGTGGATCCATAAAAAAAATTCGGTGAACTAAAAAACTTCCTCAGAGTTGATTTTATCATTTAGCGGACACATTTCTACTCTCCTAAGAGCCGCACGAATGCCAAAATTCGACGCCGCGTACACAGAAAAATTGGAAATTTTTTACCTTCCCACATTGATTTTTTGTTCATTTTTTCACAATCTATCGGAAAGTGGAAGAGAAAGTGGTCTACGGAAAAAAAATGGGGTGTCACCGACCATTTAAGAAAGTAAATTGCAAGCGAAGTTAACGCAACGGCTACCAGCCCTATATGTGCTTAGACAGTTTTCTCAGCGCGCATCGCTCGATCGATGACGTGGCGTGATATTGCGATATGAATCTTTTTCTTAGGAGGCTATATTTTTTAAGCATTGTATTTTTTTATGAAAATACCTTTCGGTTCAATTTCCTCAGTTTAGAGAGCTATTATTTTAAGAAAACTGAATTTCCTCCCTTTTGATCAGCTGCTACCGATTTGAACAAACAAAAGACGGATAAAAGATTTTCTCAAAAAGTAAATGATTGTTTCCGCACGCAATGTTGTGTGTTTTTTGTTCTCGACTACTCAAGATGCTATAATCGTTTGAATAAATACACGGTCCATTTCCTGCGTAAATGCCCTTCGTTTCAGCCGCGAATTATCTGAGAACTAACTGACCAAAAACCTCAGTTCCAACTGAATTGGGGGTTATATTTGGTTTTACTGGATCAATAACTAATCCCGACAATCTACTGTGGTAAAAGTCCGGTGGCACTGGAAAGGGAAACAGATCACTTACAAAACAGAGACTCTGAGGCTAAGGAGGATTAACAAGGGCAAATGAACTCACGTTATTTAGCCAATAAGTCAGTGGTGGACTCTGATTTTAGATAAGAGAGCTCGAACAAACGAATGCCGTGTTTCTAATAATAACTGTTAAATCTTTGTCTTAAATATTTCATTCTATAAAAATGCTTAAAACTTGATTCGATCGCTTTATAGTTACCCTCTTCATAGAACTTTAAATTCAGGATATAAAGGGGTGTGCAGGCTAGAAGATGTTTTTCAAGTAGCAGTTCCTGTCGAGTGGTATTGATGTCGTTGTTGTTATAATTTTAGGCAATAGTTTGACTATTTCTTTTTTGCAAAACATGAACTTTTCCGCTATCGATCACCGTTTTTTCTGAACAAAAGTGAATCATCGTCCAGGATACCGGCAAGCATCAATGATAGCTGGCTGTAAAGAATTTAATTAAGCCTATCAGTAACGGAGAAATATTTTGTATGAATAATGATTCGTTTTAACCACGCAGCTTCCGTTTTCCATGGTTAAAGAAATTGATAGCAGGTGTTAATGTCGAGTTTTATAGGCAACCATGTCAAGTTTATCTCATCAATTTTAGATCCACTCCAAAAACAGGTGGACTGCCATCAAGTTACAGCGAGAAATAACTTTAAGGTAAGATTCACACAGAATTTTCTTTTTTAGAAGAGTAAATGAAACGTTTTTTTTTATCAAAAAAAAGTGTCCTTTAGGTTCGCTTTACACTTTTGTGCTGAAATGGGCTGCGAACTTTTAATCAGTTGAGAAAACTAAACAACTGTTCCAGTGAACTGGACTGTTTTTAAAAGCCAAAATCGACGCTTAAGCCCTTTGGCAATATTCCTTTTCCATATCTCTCCCGAAACAACCTCATAGATCAATCCGCCTTAATTCAGACGAAATAATTATATTTAAACTCAAGATTTCTTCACTGTTAAACATAAAATTGGTAAACAAATCCCTTCCCTAAACTTTCAACGCAAAATTTTCTTGCACCTAACATAGACTTGTTTTCTTTCCAACGGCCTCTCCATGTGATCCCTGTTAACCAAATATATAATATGATGAAATATATGATTTTATTAAAATTATATTATAATAATTGTCTTCTTTTTACACATGTGCAATCCGGTCAATTGGACTATTTTTTTCATACGACGTATGAGTTGCAAAAATCCTCCAAATTTTAAGGCCTCATATCTACAAAAGGTTGATATGAAATTCTCGTGAACTTCACAGTTTTACTCCAAGATTTGGCATCATTAATCGATCTATGGCGTTGTTGTCTTATACAGCGTGTGAGATGACGGTCAACATTCATTCTTTTACTATTTTATATGAGAAGACAAAATACGTCCTGGTTACCTAGACAGTATTCTGAGGGTGACATTAAATAGCAGCGCTGTGGATCTATTTTTTCTTCGAGTTATTGTACCACCCCAAAAGAGATATTTCGTGTGGCTAGTAGACTGTTAGATCTAAAAAAGAGAGAGAGATGGGTACCTGAGTGGCAATAATTTGGGCAGAAATTAGAAGTGGTATGTATCCACTCGAAGTAGTGCAACTCATCCCTTCAATTATTTCTTCTATTGTCTTTCAGTGCCACGGTAATTATTTTATCAATTTCCGCTTTCTTACGAACACGTTCAATGAAATATGTGATAAACACGCACCTTTAATGAAAAGATAAAAACCCGTAGGAAGAGCGACCCATGGATCACTAACGAAATAAGAAGAAAGATGAATTATAGGTACAAGCTCTTTAAGGACGTTCGCGCGAAAATCTTCTAACGTTAATTTTTTTCTGAAACTTTCACCAGTTTGAGATTATGGGTTACTCATGCCAAAAATGTAAAAAAATTGGGGGGTCACCGAATTCTTTTCGGAGATACGATGTTCAAAAGATCACCCAAAATCTGAGAAATCGGGCTTCGTTACTGCATACGGATAAAGTGCCTGTTTGTGCAAAAAATTTATAAATAAATCCCTGAATTGAAATTTTATCCGCCACTTATTGTTCTTGTGGATCCATAAAAAAAATTCGGTGAACTAAAAAACTTCCTCAGAGTTGATTTTATCATTTAGCGGACACATTTCTACTCTCCTTAAAGCCGCACGAATGCCAAAATTCGACGCCGCGTATACAGAAAAATTGGAAATTTTTTACCCTTCCCACATTGATTTTTTGTTCATTTTTTCACAATCTATCGGAAAGTGGAAGAGAAAGTGGTCTACGGAAAAAAAATGGGGTGTCACCGACCATTTAAGAAAGTAAATTGCAAGCGAAGTTAACGCAACGGCTACCAGCCCTATATGTGCTTAGACAGTTTTCTCAGCGCGCATCGCTCGATCGATGACGTGGCGTGATATTGCGATATGAATCTTTTTCTTAGGAGGCTATATTTTTTAAGCATTGTATTTTTTTATGAAAATACCTTTCGGTTCAATTTCCTCAGTTTAGAGAGCTATTATTTTAAGAAAACTGAATTTCCTCCCTTTTGATCAGCTGCTACCGATTTGAACAAACAAAAGACGGATAAAAGATTTTCTCAAAAAGTAAATGATTGTTTCCGCACGCAATGTTGTGTGTTTTTTGTTCTCGACTACTCAAGATGCTATAATCGTTTGAATAAATACACGGTCCATTTCCTGCGTAAATGCCCTTCGTTTCAGCCGCGAATTATCTGAGAACTAACTGACCAAAAACCTCAGTTCCAACTGAATTGGGGGTTATATTTGGTTTTACTGGATCAATAACTAATCCCGACAATCTACTGTGGTAAAAGTCCGGTGGCACTGGAAAGGGAAACAGATCACTTACAAAACAGAGACTCTGAGGCTAAGGAGGATTAACAAGGGCAAATGAACTCACGTTATTTAGCCAATAAGTCAGTGGTGGACTCTGATTTTTAGATAAGAGAGCTCGAACAAACGAATGCCGAAGGAAGATTCTGGGGGGGGTTTGGGGTCTTAAGGTATGCTCCACCCGAAAAGTTTTGAAAATTTAGTCCTCAAAAATGCTTTTCCCACTATCCTGAAGGTCTGTTGGTCTGTTGTTACAAATTTTTATTAAAAAGTGCGACAACTGTTATTACAAAGAGTGACAGGTATTACAAAGAGCGATAATTTTAGTACAAAGTGCGACAGAACACCGTTGTCTTGAGTGCCAACTGTTGTCGCTTCAGGTCTTCCACGGTGTGCTCATGCACCCACTCCAACAGAGAAGGGTGATTGATGAGATTGATTGATTTCAGTAGATTTCTGATTAACGCAGCTATCTCTTCTCTCAGATGTATTCCGTCAATGCTGAAGTTTTTCGAGCACAAAATTCTCCTGTAAATTTCGCATCCATTCCGGACGGTCTACCAGAACCTTTGGTTTTCATTGTTTCATTGTATTATATATATATATATCATTTGCTTATCGATGAGGTCAAAGATGTTGGGCGGGACATTCATCATCTATGTCAGCAACTTGTGGATGTTTTTCCTTTAGTGTTTCTAATAATAACTGTTAAATTTTTGTTTTAAATATTTCATTCTATAAAAATGCTTAAAACTTGATTCGATCGCTTTAGAGTTACCCTCTTCATAGAACTTTAAATTCAGGATATAAAGGGGTGTGCAGACTAGAAGATGTTTTTCAAGTAGCAGTTCCTGTCGAGGAACTTTTCCGCTATCGATCACCAATGACGTAACAGCCTGGGCCAAGTACTAAAAGGTCCGATGAAATATCTTTTTTTTTTTTTTTTAATTCAATATTTATCCAGGGGCATCCAATTTAGCAGAGCTAGTTTAAATGGAGCCCTGACAAAACACAAAAACAAAGACATTAAAACATTAAAATTAATATCAGCTCAACTGAGACGTGCGAAAGCCAGCTTTTTCCGCTAAAAGATCGATTCTGGGAATTCCACTGCTGCGTACTGGAAAGTACTCTCCGAAGCAACGAATCCAAAAAGGAGACCCCAGATTGGCCCAATAAGACGGGAAGATAATACTCTCGCTGTACGTGAAGACGAGAAGGCAAATCGGATAAATACCTTCTTGAAGGAGTACAAAAGCGGGCTATGCGCATCATTTTTCCTCTTTGCTCATATAATGAGGCCTTGGTTGAATCAGTTCCGCCAGGAACTAGTTGATAAACTATTTAAGAATGTTTTACAGAACCAACAGAACAAGCTCCATGAACTTCTTCCTGCTCGCAACACATGTACCTTTAACCTAAGAAATATGAGGAAGTTTAAACCAGCTTTTAAGACGAACAGGTTTCGTAGTAGTTTTTCTTAAGGCTTGAAGGGTTTTAGTAAATTTTTAAACGTCTTCTATATATTTTTTTTAGAACATATATATAGTGTCCTTATTTGCTGTTTTAAATCGCTTGTAGTCTTTTTAATGTAATTATCATTATTCAATTTATTGTAAATAATCGTATAATTCAACTTTTAGTTGCAATTCGGTTATTAATAAACTATCTATCTATCTATCTATCTATCTATCTATCTATCTATCTATCTATCTATCTATCTGTCTGTCTGTCTGTCTGTCTGTCTATCTATCTATCTATCTATCTATCTATCTATCCGCTACAACAGGAACTAGCCTTTCAAGAAACACCGTCTGTCCACTAGTAGAAACAGGAAATGATCCTACACTGACACAAACAATTTCTACCATCTCAATTTCGGAGGAGTCTATATCCAGAAAATTCAAGGCCCTAAAACCTAATAAGGCCAGGGGACCAGACGAAGTAACCCCCAAATCACTGCTGTCAGCTGAGCCAGCGGTCGTCCCATCACTCACCAAGCTATACTCGATAAGTGTCAACAATGGGATAGTTTTTATACGAGGACAGAGAAATTCTTTTGGAGGGCCTCTTCTTCATGTTTTAATTATGTTAGTTCAACGAGTGTCGATATTGCTTTGAAAGTATAAGTCTAGTGAAAAAAGAAGAGTTGTTCTATTGATGGAAATTGTCCAAATTTCTCCTTGCGGCTATGTTTGCGAGAGCGAGGAGAAATAAGGCAATTTTGAGACTCGACAGCCCACGAAAACTGATATTCTTACTTTTCTCGAAAATAAAAGGCTTTTTGAGAGGACAATTTACATCAGACTACTTATCTACCTAAAAGCTATCTACAGTGCTGTGCAAAAGTAATGACAGCGAAATTAACAAATTGCGAACTTTCGTTTCTGACGGAAAAGCGGCGAAATATTGCTTTAACGAGGTCGAAATTTGGCAAGGAAGGTGATAAATCCGGCGAAACGAGATTTGGTGCCTGAGGGACAAAAATTTAAGTTTCGACGAAACAGAATTTCGTTTCGACACGAAATTACGTAAAAGCAAGGTAAAATTTCGTGTTTCCGAAAGACGAAATTTCGAAAAATTCCGACTACATAATACAGCTGTAATCATTACCTCATTGCTATACGGTACTTGTAAGCGTGTGATTATTAATTTGGGTGATTTATTTAAAAAAAAAGAAAGATTGATGCACTTGTTGTAGAGAGAATTTGAGAGAGAACGGTGCTTTTGACTGACAGTTTTATTTCTTTTCCAACATATTAATTTTGTTGTAAACGTCTCGCTTGCTAATAGTTCTGCAGATAGCTTAAAGTTCTCTTAGACTATTGAATGCTGATACATTTTTTTACTATTGCTAAATGCAGAATAAATAAAGAACGAAAAATCATCGTATAACGTTTCTGGCTTTTTTTGATTCGCCGCCGCTTCTTTCTTTCAAGTGATAAAAAATCGTCAAACTTTAATCTATTTGGTGTGGCGTTGTTAATAGTTACATGTCTGCTCCTTTAATCAGATTAAACTCGTACTACAAGGATTTCCGCTGTGCACTCAAACTTGTCCCTAAGAGATGACTCTTTTAAGGAGCACTTAGCAAGAAGTCCTTTTACTTCGTAAGACTAGCACCAAAGATCAGGAATTATTTACCTTTAAACACGAAAAACTTAAAGAAATCTAGTATCTTGTTAGGATTGACGGAAACCATGTTGGAAATCAGTCGACAGGATCTTATACTCCCCTAGGTGGGACATAACGTGACTAGAACACAGTGATGTGCTCCATGATAGTACAGGAAACGTAAGTTAGGGAGATGGGTCTATATTTCAAACTGGGGAAGGATTTATCCCTTTTTGAAGATGACATGCATGTTTCTATGTTTCCAGTCTCTTGGGACGTCTTTGACCTGTAGTGATAGCCAGAAAAACTGTTACAACTATTTTTTGTTTGTTTGTTTTTCTGATCTTGTTAACTTACACTAGCAACAGATAACTAATTGCATCTATAGCCCTTGAAAAATGCAAAAAAAGAATGCGTTATCTTATAAAATTATTCAGGTACAAGGTTTTTGTCCACTGAAAACTAATATTACTCAATTTCCTTTTAGTGCCTAATTTAAAAGAGTAAACACCTGAATTTTAAATGACCAAATGGCACATTTTGAGTTCAATTTTTTCCGTGTTCATTTCTTTCCAAGGAAATCTGTGGTATCTGTGGCGAACAAAGAGTTCATCGAAGAGACGGATAAAAATTTCGATTTTATCACGGAAATACCGTTCCGATTTCTTGGAGTTGGAGATTTTAAGGTTTCTATTGTCATAGAAAACTAGATTTAAGTACTTCTTTCTGTCCAGTGGTGTAATTAATTTTTTAAGATTCTTCTCTACCGTCGAGCAATCATCGGTAATCATACCGACCGGTCACACTTTTGAGGGCCAGTGCACAGCAAGATTAAGGGGTTTAGACACAGTAATTGTGCTTATTTTCAGCTCTTCAGAGCTAGTGAAACTCCGTATCATTCCTCTAAAAGTTCGCTTAGCTGGAGCGTTGAAAGGGGAAGCTAAATGACAGGTATTTGTGAGAGACTGTGAGCATTGAATCTTGTAGCTTTACCGCATTTTAATACTGTATTGGGAATACACCTGTAATTCTGTAATTAAATCCCGAAAACTTATAAAAGGTTTCCTTTAATTATTTTTTGGGGGCAAACCCAGTGGAGATATTGATGATTAAGACGCTGTACAAAAGGCAAGTTTAACTTTTGCTTGTGGGTGTTGGCTGTAAATTAGTACAGTTTGTGGTGTACTGTGTGTTTGTGTCATGATGTCAACTGACATTGAAAAAAAATTCACCTGTTTCAGAGGAGGGACATGTCTTGACAGCTTATGTTTTTTATCTGGTCGTAAGCTTGGCCAGTATGCAGATCAAGAGTTTTTGTATCCCTTTTCCAAAATAAACCTCCGGACTTAAGCTTAAAATATATATATTGATCCAAGTGCATGACCAGCAGGGTCTGCAATAAGAATAAAGAAAAAAAGGGCAAAAGAAAAAATAGTATGAAAAAAACGATACAAAGAAACTGAAAGCAGCGTCCCTGGGAGTCGAACCCGGTTTATCTGCACATGCAAGGAACTCCTTGACCACTGCACCATAGTGACACACATGATTTGAAAAATTAATCTTGTCATATCAAAAAATTTTTTTTCTACCCTAGACGCTGTTTGAAGCTGGTTGAGCTGTATTCATCATGAATTCAAATATACATTTGAGGAAAACTAACTTAAGCGCGTATTTCAAAGCTATTTCGCATTATTTCCGGTTTAACGGGCCGACTCGATGTAGATAATCGAACGAACTAGCTTTACTGAATTTGGTGGAGAATTAGGAGATCAACAGAGGCCTGCATTCGAAAGGAATGATATGAAGTTAGGCCCATTTAATTAGCAAAAGAATAGATGAAATATAAACATGCATGATCTGCGAATGGAACCTCCTATTCTCGAGACTAGACCTTGCCGATTTTAGAGAAAAAAAAAATTTAAGTCTTGATGACCTTGCCGGTCCCGTGAAATAGATGGCGATCCCGCAACACTGCTCGCAAAACAAATTAACAAAATTCTACAATCACGGACACAAAGTATCAAAACGGTTTACACAAGTAGATTATAGCAACACCAAAGCTCACACACATTCGATCAAATAAGCGATATATAGCGATATTTGTTAGCTTCTTTGCTTTTCCTCGACCTCGCTCATCCAAATAACTGTCGTATCCCTTGCTAATTTACACAAGCGAGCCGTGGCTCTTGCCCGTTACTTTGTGGCGTCATACTGGTAGGCGGAGTGGGTCAAGAAACTTAGGTGGAAAACAATAGAGTTACCTCCCCCCCCCCTCCCTGTTTACAAGCCAAAATAGTTAATTGAAGTTCTAAAAATGTTCAAAAGCTTAACTGCCTGGATAGTACTTCAAAATAAAGTCTTCATAAACCAGGAACAGTTAGTTTTAGCAAAAGAAGGTGTAAAAAGTCCATGCCGCCACATTTTTCTTCACAGCAACACTAAAAAAAAAACAATCAAACTCTGCCAAAACTTCATCATGTGCTTGTTTCCTAATGTCTATATATGGTCGTACAAAAGGTTACATAACAAACCGGTGGCGCATGACTTTGAAAAGGACTGTTCGTAGGAGTGTGAGCCTCGTAACAACTGTTATTGTTCACTGCGAACGATCAAATTACTCCCCTAAACACATTTTCTAATACGTTCACCATTCAAAGGACACAATATCATGCAATAAAATTGTTTCTTTTAGCATATGTGACGGCTTTCTGGGTCGCCATATTTTTTTTTTTAATGTTACGCGGAGTAAACTTGAGAAATTAGAAAGAGCTATTGATATTTTCAAAACGGAAAAAGCTATCACTTTGAAACTTGCAGAGAAATTTATTTTTAAGAGACATTTTACTAGACGGAGATTAAAACTTAAAAGTCCTTGCGGTTTTGGAGATAGGATTTTAGTGACGTCACTTGAAAACCAAGAATAAAGACTAATGGTAATAACCAAAGGGAATATGCTTTGTGGAAAAAAGAAAATTATTAAAAATAACTTTGTCGTCGGCGTCATATCAACAAGACATACGTGTATGGTAGGACCTCCCGAGGCTCGGGGGAGGCCCTTGAAATGTCAAGGATGGAAAGGCGGGAGAGAAATGGAGTAAATAGTGTGACTGGGGAGGCCTAGGGCGGGTTTCAACACTGCCTCTAATATTGGAAGGCGGATGTTCTTAATCTACTTTTGGTCGGAGTAAATTTGAACCCCTTCTAAAGAGCTATAAAGCAACAATTATTTACACTCTACAATGTTGGAAAAAAAAAACATTCAGTCTGGGAAATTCTCCGGCTTTATTGAGAATGAAGGGACTGCCTTCCTAACTTCCACGACATAAAATTAGATACACTGTGCATACTAGTTTCTCATATTTTGCAAAAAAAGTATCAGCACAATGTAACAAAATGTATTTGAACAGATGGCTAAACTTTGACAGTTTTATCAACGATCCTAATCAGTAAGAATGGAAGTGTCTTTAGTGTCTTATCTTACAGTTTTAAATTAACAACTATAGATGAATCTGAAGAATTATGCGCACAGAGGAGGTCTTCCGAGATGTTCATTAAAGTGATTCATCTCTTACAAAAGTCGAATTTAAATTAAAACTGTTTAATTTTTTTTTTTTAATATTTCAGTTAAATTCAAGATATAAAGAGGTGTTCAGTCTAGAAGATGTTGCAGTATATAGTTTGGCTATTTCTTTTTCACAAAACGTGAAAGTTTTCGCTATTTTCTTTGGCTCGATCAGCTTTAGTTCTGAACAAAAGTGACTCATCTTCTAGGATATCAGCAGGCATTTTCCATCTTTGGTTAACGATAGCTGGCTGTGAAGAATTTTAGCAAATCGGAAATGGAGAAATATTTTGTATCAAAACATGATTTGTTTTAACCATGCAGTCTCCGGTTTCCATAGTTGAAGAAATTGATAACAGACGTGAATGTCGAGTTTTATAGGAAAACATGTCAAGTATTTATCTCCTCAATTTTAGATCCACACCAAAAAACAGCTGGACTGCCATCAAGTTACAGCGAGAAATAACTTTAAGGTAAGATTAGCACAGAAGTTTCTTTTTTTAGATGAGCAGATGAAACGCTTTTTTATCGCCAAAAGTGTCCTTAAGTTCCTTCTACACTTTTTGTGGTGAAATGGGCTGCGAATCTTTAAAAAAAAATTAAGCAACTGTTCCAGTGAACTGGAGTGTTTTCAAAAGCCAAAATCGACGCTTAAGCCCCTTGGCAATATTCCTTTTTCACATCGCTCCCAAGACAACCTCATAGATCAATCCGCCTTAATTCTGGCGAAATGTTATTTAAACGCAAGCTTTCTTCACTGTTAAACATAAAATAGGTAAACCAAGCCCTCAAAGTTTACGCAAAATTGACTTGCTATCTCCAAGCGGCCATGTAATGTTCTATTTATTGTACAAACATCAACGAAATACCAAACCATTTCACTTTAATAGTTTTTTATGTGAAAGGCTCGGTTTACCATGTAGCCACAGCAAAAGGTAATATTTTCACATGTGAAGATATCATGTTTTCGCGCGAAAGCTCACCATTTCTTTGGCGTTTAAAAATAAAGTTAATTTATTTACAGAATCTCGAAAATTGCATGAAGTGGTATTAGATAGAGCAATAAATTTCGAGCTTAGGTAGTCAGGAGTAAGGCCATTAAGGGATTTAAAAACCATTAAGACTTTGTGGATATCACGCTGAGTATGTAGGTTTATGCCACAGCTTCCCGAAACAACATTGCAATAGTCGAAATGCGGCTGAATCAAGGCCTTGTAGATAAGATTCAGTGATGCTGGGGGAACAAATTGCCTGACCCGTTTGATAGCTGCGATACCAGAGGCAATTTTTTTAGCCAACTTCTCAGTATGACTGCCCTAGGTAAGGTTTGTATCAATGAGTACACCTAGAGACTTTTTGCTTTGATACCTGGTTTACGGGAATACCATTGATGCTCAGAACGGGAGAGGCAGTTAGGGCGTTTAGCTTTCGTCTCAAGCCGATTAGCATAATCATATTAAGTCATATTAATTGTGAGTTTGCTAGCGATTAGCCATTTGCTGATATTTAGCAAGTCTTCATTCAAACAGGACTGACTGACATTCACATCTTTATCGGCGTAGGTAAGATGCGTATCATTGGCATATATTCTAGGATAAGAGTTAGCTATTAGCTATTTGGTAAGTCGTTTGTATGTATAGCAAAAACAATAGAGGACCAAATATAGTCCCTTGAGGGATACCACATTGGAGAAAGCAGGTTTTGGAAAGTGAACAACTAACAGAACACATTTGAGTTCGGTTTTTTAAGTATGATTTAAACCAATTCTAAGAATTTTCTTGAATTCCGTTGGCGCTGAATTTAGACAGTAATATTGCGTGGTCTACTGTATCAAAGGCCTTTTTTAAATCTATAGAAATACTACAGTATTAACGTTTCCACGATCAATATCAACAGCCCAGCTATCGGGCGCCTCTAGTAGAGCAGTGACCGTAGAATGGATAGTGAAATCCGGACTGACTTTTTAAAGTAATTTTATGTTCCGATAGGTACGCGTATACTTGATCGTACGTTATTCATTCGAATACCTTGGCCACCACAGAGATAACAGAAAGGGTTGGTAATTGTTCATATCACTCGAACTTCAATTCCCTGCTTGAATAAAGAAGTAACTTTAGCACATTTCCAGTCATCTGGGAATATGCCTGTAGTCAAAGAACAATTAAAGATCTTGCAAATAGAAATCAAATAAATCAGCACATCCACGTATTAGTCTCGCAGATATTTTATCGAGAACGATTGCTTTTGATTTGCTAAGTTTAATTCTAGTCAATTGTGAAAATACTTGACTGCTATTTTCCGGATTAAAACAGAATCTTTGGTCAGTGATGTTAAGATATTTAAGACAACTTTTGTCGCCGTTAGCTGCCGACGGCATCTCATTAGCAAGTTTCAGGCCAATTGTGGAAAAATGTGCATTAAAGGAATTTGCCAAGTCTGTAGTTTAGTTTATAGAAACACCGTTTACAATTTGTTCTTTAGTAGAGAGGGTGTTACTCTCTCGAGATGTAAGTTTTTTTTTTTTTAATATTTCTTTATTGACAAAAAAATTAATTACAAATACTTGTTCTTTTAACTATGAAAAATAATATATAGAGATATATATAGAAAGAAAAGACTAAATTTGTAAAGGAAAAAAAAAACTAAATTAAAAGGAAAAAGACGCAAAACTCATAAGTGAAACAGTACAGCAGTAAAGTGTAGCTTGAAGGAATAAGTATTATGGAAATGACACTAGCATTCACATATCTAAAGAAGTTTGTCCCATGTTTTTTTGAATTGCGATAAGCGGTTAGATTTAAAAGCAATGGTACGAAGAATATCAATTTTGTTGTTGAGAGGCAGCAGATAACTGTCAAAGTCCAGGACGCCGATGCGTACACTTGTAGCAAAAACATTATATTTGGCGACAATCAAACAGTAATTAAGCACTTCCCAGTGAATTGACTCTTTGTGCCAACCATATAAAATAATGCTTTCCGATAAAGTCAGTTTTTGATTAAAATTTCGCGCCACCAGTTAGAAAAAGAAGTCCAAAACGAAGAGGATACACTACAGTATAACATATGTTTTAGAGATTGACTTTCAAGGTTACATAAGGGACCAACATCAGTATCAGTTATGCGCGAGCGGAAGAGGCTAGATTGGGTAGGTAAAATATTGTGAATAATTTTGACTTGGAACATGATCAGTTTTGGTTCCTTCAAGATTTTGAACGGGAGCATGTAGATGTAAGGAATTTCCTCTTTGGTGAACCCATGATCTAGAATTCTACCTTCAGCAGTGGGTGCTGAGAAGCTTTTGTCAAGTATGGAAGAATAGGCTTCTTTTGTGGAAAAAAGCTTCGAGGATGTTTCGAACTTTTCAGATTCATCATGCACGCCTGCTTTGACTCGTAGTGCACTTTTCCATTCAGTTGGCTCTTAAAAGGCCGAGATCTAGGTCGAGATGTAAGTTGGTTTATAGTTTGCCAGGTGTGTCGCGAGTCATTTTTGTTTTCAGTAAATGATTGTTTGTAATTAAGATTCCTTTGCGATCTTGATCTTACTGTTAACTTTGTTGCGAAGTCGTTTAAAGTCACCCCAATCCTGTGGGTTCTTTGAACGTATTGCTTTCAACTTCATGATATCTCGTTCATGCATACGTTTTTTCAACTCTGATGTAATCCATGGGGATCTTTTTGAACGGACCCGCTTTGTTCGTAAAGGAGCATGAGTGTCAACAACATTTTTAAATGTTCTTAAAAGTTCTTAAAAGAACTTAATTTTCCACTCACGCCATATGTCATTTGGGTATTGAAAATTGTCTAAGACGTCCCAGTTTTGAGAAGCAATGTCACTGTGAAACTTCTATAGTTAATAGCATTGTGTCGTTTGGAAACAGCTACAATCGACAGCTTTCGATAAGCAAAAATGAGCCTATAGTGGCCTCATGATGCTGACATGATAAACTCCAGAGCAGACTACTTTATTGGGATAGTTAGTATATATTAGATCTATTAGAGTAGATGTTGTGTCAGTGACGAGCGTAGGCTCGTTTATAAGCTGGTGAAGGCCATACAGGTCAGTGATGTCCGATAACAAGCAAGAATCAGTGTCCGACATTGAAGCCATGTTGCAATTAATATCCCCCATTAAATAGAATTCGACATTTTCGGAATCAGGACGTTCAATAAGACTTTCTAGAGATGAGAATACTTCATTGGGAGAATTTGGTGGTCTGTACCACGTGACTATAACAAACGGTTTTGAATTCGGTTTTCTGATTTCAAGAAACAAATTTTTTAGATTGCTTATATTTAGATCTGTGCGTACTGAATAGTTAATGACAATTTTGATATAGAAGCAAACACTCCTGCCATTTCAATTTCTGTCGCGTCTTACTTGATCTCGTATCCGGGTATTTAGATTTCAGAATTCAGTATACCTTCATCGAGTCTCGTTTCATTGGTTGACATAACAGCTAAAGGATAATTGGCAAACAGATTTCTAAGTTCATCGATATGCTTAGTCAAGCTAGTTATGTTAAGAGAAGCCATTTTAAAACCACGTTTAGTAGGCAAAAAATTGTTAGTAAGATCTAGTGGTGTATCTTTTATATTAGTAACTTCATTTATCATGTGTAATGGTTCTCTCGGAAGACACGGCAATTAATTAGGAATTCAAATATTTTTAACATAACTTACAAAATCAGAAATCGGACAAATTTAAATGAAGAACACTAGAACTTAGGTGTTCACCAGTAATATTAGGATGAGAGATAATTTTCCAGTCATTTCGATTGACAAACGTTGTCAACTTCTCAGAATGTTGTTAACCTGTTTAGCCTTTGAGTTCAAAGAGGCGTCATCAGTTCTTGGTAATAAGTTCGAGATTGTTACCTTCGTGTTGGAAGATTCGGCTTCAATGAAATTTACAAATCAACAATTTATTTAATGCCCCATATCTCCATAAGATTGCAAGAAATTCTCGTGAGCTTCACAGTTTTACTAAATTCGGGATCATTAATCGATCTATGGTGTTGTTACTTTATACAGCGTGAGATGGCGGTCAGTATGCATTTGTTATTATTTCATAGAAGAGAAGACAAAATACGTCCTGGTTACCTGGAGAGCATTCTGAAATTAATTCTGCGGTTACTTCTGTCTTTTAGTGCCAGAATATAATCTCAAGTTCCGCTTCTTACGAATATGATCATTCTATTTCTTTGTTGTTGTTGTTTTTGTTTGCATGGGCGTCCGGATGGATAAAATGTCAGCCGAAAGTTTGATTATTTGTCAGCATATGATTAATCCAGTCCAGGAACGCCTTGTGGGCCAAGCAAAGTCATCGAATTGTTTTTACGTCTATGGTTTTGAATCAAACAACCTATTTATTATTTGGGCGTGGCCCAAATAGAGTAACGGAAACGGCTTGTTTTGACGCAAATGTGTAATAGGCACGCAATACGTGCTAACGTAAACAAGGCAAGTAAACAAGCGAACAGACGCAAGCAGATCAAAATCCTAACTCAAATAACTAAAAACATTGGTATCTTTTCCGCCAAATCAGTACCGATTTCGATTTTGTATTTTGTCACATCAAGAATTAGACCGTCGGTAAACTAGACAAAAAAACTATCACAATTTTTTTTGTGAATTATCCTGATCTCCTCAGTGGCATTGCTTTCTTTCACTCCGAAATACTTATTATTTTGAGGATTTTGTCCATGCTCGGCTTTAGACACAAAGAATCGTTAATTAAAAGTAACCGAGAAATCTCCAACGATATCGTTTAAATACATGTAGATTCCTGACTCGGTTCAGAGTTCAGATCTGTTTCCTTTGGCAGTCAACCTGCTCCGCTGCCTAGTTTTACTGTAAAATTCTACCTAGTAACGTTGAAAGGCCTTTGGATTCAAAGACATCTGACCTTATTCGGAGATACTTATCCTTGAACTCAAATTTTTCTGTAAACAAGCAGACATCTTTGGTTGTTTGCTCAAGCTTAGATGCGAACCATTAATTCCGTGGCTACCCAACACCACTTGTGAAACTGTTTTGTCGTCGCACACAGTCTTTAAACTAAGATCCATCGATGAGTTCAATCTGTTACTGAAGAGATGTAAATGGTGAATGAGAAGCGCAAATAAGAGGTGTCTGTACGTTATAGACGTTATAAGCTACATAAAAAAATCGGCGACACAGCTGTCAGAAATATTTCTTTAAGAAAGATTAATATCATCCAAGGCGGGAGCAGATATATGGTTGCATTCCTTTTAGCCAAACTTTTTTCGGATTTAGACAATCCAGATTGTTTGGATTTCCCTGCTAGCTGAAACAAAATGATCCATACAGTAGCTACCTGCTGCTCTGATCTTCTTCTCAATTTCAACACATCGTTTTTTATTTCTTTCCGCTAAATTAAGCGTCTTCTTGTCGAGAAATGAAAAGAAAAGTTGCTCTTTAAAGGGACGCGATCACGGTTATGCGCATGCGCGCCGTTTGTCTGTTCAGAATAAATTTGTTTGGCCAACACTAAATTCGAAATCGCCATTACCGGTACAATCATTGAAAATCATTCGTTTTATTCCGACATCCGTCGCTTTGGCTGGCCTAGTTATACTTCGGTAGCGGTGATTAACGTGTGGTTGTGTTGTTTGATTGGTTACGTTCTAAGAAGACGCAAAAAATAATGTTTTGATCATGGAGGTTCAGAAGAGCATCGTGGCCGTCCGGCAACAGGACGTTCTTAAGAGTCTTTGGAGACAGAGAAACTTAGCCGATCGATCTGGTATGGTTCTAGGAGTAGTGTGTGGCTTACGAAAAGAATACACGACACTTGGAAAGTGGTTAAAGGCATGAGTTCGTTCAACTTTCATTTGATTTTTGACTCCGACTTGTAGTTATACCGCAACAGGCCGCGCGATCTTCACCGATCTGGTAGACACTTGAAATGTTCCTTGTATCTTTGCTTTACGATCGTATATGTTTAAGAATTGATGTTTTTAAAATAAATTATTGCCTGAATATTCTGTTTATAATCTTGTTTCTTTATGTGCCCTACTCGGTAACATTTGTTTTGCGGAACACTGACCCCATGCAACGCGAATGAATTTGTTCATTTGCTGTGATAAGCAATTGAATGCTCAGTTAAGGATAATCTTTGTACTCATACGTTGTGTGTTTTTGTCACCGGTCAGGCGCTGTTTGTAGGTATTTCTGGGTTTATATAAGGCGAACTGAGAGAACAGTAATAAAATGTTTGTTTACAAATTTTGTTTGCCTATCGGTGACTTCTTTGTTAGCCTGGGTACGACCTCGTCAAAATACACGTTGGTAAATGTTTGTTTCAAAGCAGGACAGGGCTGTGAATCTTATTCTTATCGGCTGCCACATATATCTGAGGAGTAGCAAAGAATAAACTTGAATTATAGGGATATATAAAATCAAACCAAATGCCCGGAAATACTCTCGCGTCGCGAACAATGAATTTGAATTTTGTAAATTTACTTGCGTGCATCTAACTCGCTTCCGATTGGTTTAAAAACAATCAGCTACTGTCAGAACTCACACATGCGCATCATCGTGAACCAGTCGTCAACTTAAAGTTATCTGGAATTTGATTCAAGAAAATTCAGAAGACAATTACGAATTCTCAAGTGCTGGGAAGCGTGCTCTAAACACACGCACACTTTGGACTATAGTTTTACCACTACGGTGAGAAAATCCAAGCGTTTTCTCTTCCTTACGGATTTATAATTACAGTGGAAATTGAGTTTAATAAAGTACAATACTTTATCGCCATAAAACAACGGAGGAGTGTAAATAACGTTTGCCCGAACTAGCCTTGACCCGCCGTGTTTATCGATGAATGAGTACGTTCTTGCGATCGAAAAGCAGTTTCGTTAAATAGAACCAAAATCTGAAACCAGATTAACACAGCAATCTGAACGATCCAAGTGCGGAGGTGGATCGTTCAGATTTAAATCTTAGATTGGTTTATAATGGAATGAAAAATCAAATTTCAGATTGCAAAATCCAGATTTAGATTGGTCAAAAGGAACACAACCATAGCAAATAGAACTATTTCTAGTAGTAATCAAACATGCAAATCACAGAGTGCGTTTGAGGTTAGAGTATCTTTTGATCGGGTGCACCGCAGAGAAAATGCCACAAAGTAAATTCGATGGTATCTCCCCAAAATCTTACATTTGATGTTATAATACACTGATTAATTTTCGCGCAATTTTATTGGCTATTTTGGGCCACGTGGTTTCAAATCAGACACTACACTCCGTCCCTGTCAATATTTACCCTGCAATTTTTCAGGGGCAAGACAGCATGAGAAAGTCACCAAAGTGAGTCTCTTTTCAGTTTTCATTTTCTTTAATAGTTTAAAATGAAAGCAATAAAAACAATCTTGTGTTGTATAATCCAGTTTCACAAAAAATTTGAGCTATTCGCAACTGACAGTTGGAAAACAAGGAAAAAAATTAATAAAATAAGCTATGAATCGAAGATGACCAAAATTTACGAATATTACTAAATATTTCAAACTTAAACTAACAGAAAAGTACTCGCGGGGCAAAGCAGACTCCGTGACATGATATCAAGAGATATTGCGATGAAATGCAATCGAAACTGAATTTTATAGATGAGTATATTTTTAAACGATAAAGCGATGTTATGTCCTCGAGCAACAAAAAAACAAACTGCACCATTCTTGCATGAGACAGATTGTTTTCAAAGCCAGGGCGAGTTTTAAACGATAACAAACAGGCCAGAAATCTGTTTTAGGCATTGCTCATACAGGTTCGATCATCCATTCATCAAAAAGTTCTGTGATGTTTTTCGTGCCAGGTTGTGATGTTGTGTACAAAGTGAAACGTGCTTCAATCTTTTTCCTGGTTTTTTTTTTTCGGCGGGGGCGCGGGAGTTGCCTAGCACGTAACCATGATCTGCTCATGACGTAATTCAAAACTGGGAACAATTTAATCGTGGCGGAGGAAAGACGCGAACGACGAAAAAGATCAGCGCTTGGTAGCACAGAGCGCATAGGATTAATTGTAAACTCCGTTCTCTTAACCTCAAACCCAATGAATGCACTTAAAAAAGGGGCCTGATTTAGACTTAAAGTAATGGTAATATAAATCTAAGACAAATAAAAATCACACTGACTGACATGGAAAAAGATACTTAAGATAGAATGATATAATTTTCATGCATTCCTGAAAAGCATCTTGCCGAACCGCAAAAAAGAAACGTCGAAAGAAACTAAGATAAATTGAAAGATTACTCAGGTGTCAAATTATTTAGCCAATTAAATTGTTATAAATTTTGTCGTCAACGTCAGCTGTTTAGAAGCAATATGAGACGATAAATGGAAATATATATTCATGTTGGAGCAGCTCATCGGCTGCAGAATTGATTTCAGACAATATATTTAAACTTTCTTTTAAGTCCCAGCAAAGGAAAAAAAGAAAACGCTCAAGTCAAATTTCACTTGTAACGCTCACTTGTAAACACAAAATCTGGGGGGAAAATTGGTTATGTTTGAGTCCCTATTTAAAAGACTTCCCCGTTTTCAATTTTCTTGAAACTTGCAGGGAATATTTCTTGACAATTGATCTCGGCATTGTCGAATTTACAAAAAAAATTATCGAGCGGTTTTTGGAAAAATGCGAAATTCTTAGGCATGGACCAAATTACCTCCAAAAACGGTATCAAAAGCAGCTGAATGCAAGTTAATAAAATTCTTCTTACTCGCGATCGCCCAGAGCAATCCCCGTCTTTCTTTGTATGCAGTTTTCAATGGAATCAAACCACTATGAGATGAAGCCGCGTTCCCAAAGCTTATCATTTTCTTAAAATATTAGCGAATTGAGCGGCTAACATGCTATTTCACTGCTTTGATGATTCTTAAAACTGCATTTCGAAATATTTCGAAAACGCTCTCATAGAATTTCTTTAAACTTTGCAATAATGGAGGCAATTATGGCAGGTACATACTCCCTTAAGCGATTTCTTCAAAAAACTCCTGGTACAGAGAAACACAAGGATAAATGAAAAACGTAATGGCGTCATTACGTTGCCATGGCGACTCCGATTGCAATAAAACCCAGATCATAAGAAATTTTCATCTTTATGTGATACAGTTGTGGTAACCTTTTTTCGATATCTTTACTCATGCCGACGTAGTTAAGGCTCAAACTTGGGAGGTATCAACCCCAAAAAATCCAGTCGAGCCACCTTAAATAAGAAGCGTTTTGGCTTCATATAATAATCAAAAGCATTAATGTCGGTAAAAATCGAGCAAAATCGCAATTTCGCGGGCACAGTCAAAAAATCGCTTTCCCTCATATCTTGTCCATAGTTAGGTATTAGTAAGTAACTAAACGTGGTGTAGTTCGTTTTTCAAAAGGCCGCTTCGATTTGGAGAAAATCGACAAAATGAATTTTCGTGGTCGGCGACTTGAAAACAACCTGAATTTAACGCAAAATTAGGCGTTCTAAAAACTTCGCTCGCAGGAAAACAGGAAGACTCCGCGATAAATCAATTTAAAAACTTAAGGGTTCCAATTGTGGTTTGGTGATGAATTCTTACCTTAACGATAATCTGGAAGATAAACAATTTTTTAGTTTCGATTCTTTTTCATCTAAGGCCATCCCCCTTTTTTTTCTGTTTTTTCGTTTAGCGTCGAATGCGTTTCCTGATAGTTGGTCGGTCGGCCTGCGGTCGGATTGAAAAAAAAAAAAAACTAAAAAAAAAAAAAAATCACAGGAAGTCTCGGAACAGGAGGCCCCGGTAGCCCAGGATGATGTTATGTTGCTATGTTGTTACTATGCTCATTTTTCGGATTAAAAAATTATTTCAAGTTAAAAATGGTTTAACTACGTCGTTCCTTTTTTTTTTCTTTTTGAAAATGCGTAAAAGTTGGGTCGGTCGGACGACGCTAAAAGGAGAAAAAAAAAAGGGGATGGCCTAAACGAAAACGAAATTTAGGCTCAAAGTTGCGTTTTATATTTTAGGCATGTGGTACACCTTAGTTTTACCTGAAACTCAAGTCATGAGTTATTTAAAAAATGTGCTAAAACATATGTACGGATTGGCTTGGGTAATTAAATTTCTACTTCCACGAACCTTCTGAAGTTGAATAAATTTCGCTTGAAATATGAGACTTTTCAAGAGCGTCGGTTGGTTGTTCCTCGACAAGTAGTCACAATGGCTGGGCTCTCGAAAAGAAACTTAAATCACAATTGAACTTGTATCAAAGAAATTTGTACTGGAAAATTTTGTCACCTCAATGCGTTTTCCGTTCTGGTTAACTGGCATCTTGTTTTCTGCTGATTTGCGCCGTGTTCCCAAGCTAATCAACCGATGATCCAAAAACTCGAGGAAACGTGGTCAGTGAAAATAATCTCATACAGAACATTTCATGGTATTGGTGGCCTTTCTTTTCGATCAAACTTTTACATCCATTGCCATTTAAAAATTCTAGTTCTCACAGAAACTGCGATTCTGATATTTGGGCTGCCCACACACCTTTGACAGGATTCACAGGCTTCCCAATCTAACAATTTGAGCGATGCATCTATCATGGGACTTTCTTTATTGTCCTTGCCAAAAGTAGCATATCATACTACTAACAATCCAATTCATGTTTTTTTTTTCTTACGTTTTCTTAACATATGCTTTCAGGCAATATAAAATAAGTCCAAAAATATCGTTTTTCACGTCAACTTCCCCCCTTGCCTTGTGTTTGCCTTTTATTTACTTCACGCTTAAATCTCTAGCTATTTCACCGCGTTATATATCAGGCGGCTGTCTTTTTCTCTCGCATATGCAAGTTCCATTGTTTTGGATTAAATTTTGCGTAAAGATCCTGCAATTATCTTTCAGTATATATTTTTTAAAAATTTGATCATGGATGTTCTTCAAACTCTTGTTTCTGTTTATATATTGAGGAACTCCGCCTTGCGACCACACCGTTTATACGACCACCTCTTTATTAATACCATAGTCTTCCGACGCAGATGTGAAGATCTCCGAGTCATTTTATTATTTTTAAGACCTTTTTGATGCAACCACCACGCTATTATGACCAGGATTTTATGGCCAAACGGTGGTCTCATCAACGGGGTTTCACCCTTTTTTTTTAATTTCAGTTTTCCACATTATACAACAAAAACCAAAAAAATGTGCGTCAGCTAGACTTCGGCAATCAAAATGTAAAGAACTAAAATTTAGGATCCGCTTATGTGAAGAAAACTTGTCTCGAGCAGAAGGGTCACCCGCCTACACGAGCTACCCTGGATGAGCCAACGTTTCACACATTTCCTTTCAAAACATGGCGAATCGTTAAAATAATAAAAAACTGACTCGGTTAGAAGGGTGACCCACCTTGTCGAGTCACCGGCCTTTTGTAATAGAAGGGTCAGCCACCTAGCCGGGCCAACTTTTCTCCATAAATACTTTGCACGCTCTCCATCTCAGCTACGCAACCCAAGTATGGTCGCCACAGTCCATTGGCTTACTAAAACGAGCTGAAAACGTGCAGCGCCGTGCAACAAAACTAATTTTGAAGCTTCCCTTCCGTTGCGATGTAACCTATAAGACCCGCCTCCAACTAACAAATCTGTTACCTATTTCATACTGGCATGAATTTTTGGATATAGTCTTTTTCTATAAGCTGTTAATAACTTAGTTTTCATAGATAGTGAAGCTCTGCCTACAACTAGTATCAACGAGATCTACCAGGTCATCGAGCAGCAATGCTATTATATATTTCTAAGCGAAGTAGAATTGTTACTTATCAACGCTCATTTTTCATACGCGCGTGCCGCACATGGAATGTTCTGCCCGCTGAGTTACGCACAAGTCAGATCTCTCTACCCTCATTTAAACGTTCACTACCTCAATATTACAATAAGGCGCTGGACCTGTACGACATTGACGACATCAGAACCTGGAGAAAAATCTGTCCCAGGTGCAACATAGCGAGGACTCTCCTGTGCTCGCCGACTTGCTGCTTTAAACAGTTTGAATTTCTGTTTTGTTTCGTTTTGATTTTTCTTGGCTATGTATCAGTAGCTTTAGTTATCAAGTTTTTATATTATTATCTTAACGAGAGATCCACTGTAATTGGTTAGGCTGTAGTGGTCTCCCTGCCTAGTAATTTTTTATGTATTCATGTATAAAGATTGTATTCTAGTTAGGCGAAGCGAAATAAATAAATAAATGTTCTTCCCCTGCTCTCACAGGCTCGTGTGTTTACAGTGTTAAATTCCAAAAATGGGTTCTGGCATGTCCAATAAGATGAACCAAGCAGTATTGCAACCACTTTTAGAACATCTTGGGGCTGCGAATGCCATTTGAATTGTCGCCAGCTCCAGAAGAATTTCAGAAGCGAATAAATGTAGCACTTGAAGAGCTTCAAGGGTAGAAGGCTATAGCAGATGGTCTTTGGATCAGGGGACACAAATGAGGAAGCCCTAAAGGATCATGATCGGAACTTAAGAGAGGTGCTTACCCGCTGCCAGCAGAAAGCATCAAGTTAACTGCTGATGAGATGCCGTTCAGACAGTAGGAAGTCACCTACATGGGCCTCGTCGTATCTCGTCCCTGACCTAGCCAACTTATTCAAGCTGTTGAAAGAGCTAGTCAAGAAGCAAAGCAATTTTTGAGGGGAGCAGGAAGTCCCTGGATAGTACCCAGAGAAAGTAAAGCACGTCTTAAACCTACGCTCCAGTGTTTAAGTTTTATGCTTCTCAAAAAAAGAATGTGATTCAATGTGACGCCTCTCTGGATGGTCTTGGAGCTTGCTTTTTTCAAGATGGCCATTAAGTGGCATATACATCAAGAGCCCTCACTGCCACTGAAGTCAACAACACCCAAATTGAAAAAGAACTGGTATCAATTGTCTTCGGCATTTGAGAGATAACTCTTTAGAAGAAAGGTCTTTATTCAAAAAGACCACAAACCCTTGGAGTCTATTATGAAGAAGAGTCAGCTGCGTGCTCCCGAAGAGGCTGCAAAGAATGCTATTGCTGTTACAGAAGTCTGAGCTTAGAGTAAGGGTAACGAGATGCATATTGCAGATATGCTTAGCAAGGCGTATCTCCTTTCAACCAATGACGATGAAAACGCTAAATAAGACGCTTGGAATGTCAATGACACAAGGTCACCAACCGAAGTGGAGGCGAGCATGAGATAGGCAGAGTTTGTACCAATTCCTCAGTACTTTTTCAGAAATAAAGGCTGCCATGGAAACTGATACAGAACTTGAGTCGTTAACCACCGTCACCAAGAAGGGTTGGCCAGAGAATTTGGTGGCTTTGTCCCCTCTTAGTGTTTTAACTCCAGGGAGGAACTGTCATTTCAGAATGCCGTTGTGTTCAAGGGTGAAAGAATCGTGGTCCAACGTATAATATCGTGAGACATTGTATCACTGGCACAATACATGTAAGCCACCTGGGTGTCCAGGGCTGTCTGTGGATGGCTAAGGAAGCTTTCTATTGGCCAGGAATGTACAAGAAGATTCGAGAGGTCATCTGAAGATGCAGTATCTGTAATAGTTACAAACCAACACGGCAGAAAAAACCTCTAGTGTGCCATGAAATACAAACAAGACCCTGCCAGAGCATCTCGGCAGACCTCTTTGAGCTCAACAGTACAGACTATCTTGTTACCACTTATCATTAAGAGATTATTGCTAAGCTGAAGCCTCATTTTGCAAGATAAGGTCTGTCAGATAGACTCAATACGGTTTGACTGTTGCGAATTTCATAACTTTGCGAAAGATTTCCAGTTTGAGCACATCAAAACTTCACCTAGATATCACAAGTCGAGTGGAAAAGCAAAAAAACAGTGGAAAAACAGCGAAGTCTGTCTTAAATTAGAAAGCTGCGGACTCGAGATATGATCCAAATATGTCTCCACTTGAGTTTAGAAGCTCACCATCATAAAGAATTTATATTTCTCCAGCACAGCGTCTCCTCTATCAAAGGAATCGCTCCTTACTGCCCTTAGCTGGAAAAATTCTTCAGAAAAATGTTGTTCATCAAGTGGCACAGAAATTACAATGTAAGAACCACAAGCAAGCTGTTTACTATGACACAGGAGCTAAGGATCCTACCTTTGCCAGGTCAGTGTAAATAGTTTAGACTCAAGTGGAGGATCAGCTGGCGGTAGGATCCTATACGGTCTTCACAAAGGGTGGAAGAGTATATCGCCGCAACTGTTCCCACCCTTACAACGTTGCCGAGAAATACCAGCCCAGCTCAGATGACGAAACAATGCAATCTGAAAAAACAAGCCGTAACCCAATACCCCCGTAGAACACTGCAGTGGTGCCTACTGAATCTCCGGCGCCGCAGATGCCTGATGGGTCAGGGACAGGGGGGGTTCACAGACTGACTCCCAGTTAGTTTCTTCAAATACTCATGTGCCTGTCACTACTAGAAGTGGGAGAATAGTTAAGAGGCCAGCCTACCTTCAAGATCTCGTTGTCTAAGCGAACAGTGAATATTTCCTACTCCTTTATTTGCTGGAACTCAAATACTATATGTTATTTCAGTCACTAAATATACTATGAGACAATTTTCAGGTTTCGTATTCTTTTCGGCTTGTTTCTTGTTCCTTTTTCTTCAATTTGTCAAAACAAACGAGATGTAACGATGTTAGTTCCAGGCATCGGGACCCAGGCTAGGTAAAGTTCCCGGAAGGTTTCTTCGCGTTCTGTTCTGTAATCACAAGTAGTCGTCGAAGCTTTACTGTGATCAAATGAGTTGTGTTCTTCAGCTTCTGTTGAGTTTATTGACTCAAAACTCGTTTTTACTCTCCTCACATCTTTTGAAATCCCGACATCCTGACATAAAATCAATGTTTGGCATGAGCAGTAACGGGATAGTGTTTATTATCTATACACTAAAATGTACAAGATTTGTTTTGGTTAAGAGGAATAGAGTGATCTTAATAATAAGTTTATCCTTTGTTAGTTCTATCTATTGTTTAAACTAAAGCAGACATGTTTCTCACCTTAATTGATTTTTTTCTTACGAAGTCTTTTCCAGATAAGTTAAATTTCGCCTTTGGAATGTTCTCTTTCTGTTAATCTACAGTTTGTTGGGTTTTTGAGGCTTCATTG